AGGCTTTTACGAATTAAAATGTTCATAAAACAGGAAACAATAAGTGTCTGGCATAAATCGACCATTTCATCTCATTCATTAAATATGGACTTGATAAATTATGTTTATATATAAACATTAATTTTTGGAGTTTCGTTACAATATATTATGTGGATCCATCTTGATATGTAATCAACTGAACAATATATGTTGTCAACATGTCTTTATATGATGTCAATCTATCATTATACGTTGTGCACTTTAGAATATATTATGTATCCTTATATAGAGTCAACTTAATAGAGTCAACTTAGCAATATATGATGAGAATATGTCCTTATATGATGTCAGTCTTTTATAATACGATGTGCATAAATGAATATATTGTGTGGAACCATCTTTATATAGAGTCATAATAACAATATATTATGTCAATATGTCCTTACCTTGTGTCAGTCTTTCATTATATGATGTGCAATTACGAATATATTATGTGGAACCATTCTTATATAGAGTCAAAACAACATTATATTATGTAGAACCGACTTTATATAGAGTCAACTTAACAATATATGATGTCAACACGTCCTTATATGATGCCAATCCGTCATTATACGATGTGCATTAATGTATATATCATGTGTAACCATACTTATATAGAGTTAAAACAGCACTATATTATGTAGAATTATCTTTATGTCAGCTTAACAATATATGATACACTTTACTTTGAGTTTTCCCGCTGTTGCTACGAACGGTGCATAGTGAGATATGACCCAGTCATTATAATGACAGAAGCGCACGATATAATGATGTTTGTGCTGTAGGGCGAATTGTAAATTAAAATAAGTTATGTGTTTAAATTAATAAATATATTAAATAAATAAATAATTAAATAAATTATGCGTGTTGTTTTTATTTTTTATTTCCCTTATTATTACTATTGTTAAAACAGTTTTATAAACCTTTCTGCATACCTATACAGTAGCCAAATTATTTTTTTTGAATTTATACTTTTTTTTTCTTTATACGAGGGTTGTTCAAAAAGTAATAGGACTGAGAGTAATACATAATAAGTTGCTTTCTATCTAACCTGTAACCCGTTTACATTGTACACAAATGCAATGCTTTATTGCATTTGCCATTAACTTTGTATTATACATAGACGAACATTGTAAACTGTTTAATAAATACTGTTTATATATTTTTAATATATTTTTTTACTTTACAGTTTAGTAATACATTTTTGTTGTGCACTATACTTAAGTAATAAGTAAAAGTAATTTGTATTAAACTTTGTTTTTAATAAGTATTTTAAAGCTTAACTTTGTAAAAGAAATTGTTTATGTTATTATTTTATATTTTGTATACATGTACTTTGTTTATATATTAATTTATTGGCATTTGCCATTAACTTTGTATTACACATAGACAAACATTGTAAACTGTTTAATTGATATTGTAAATATATTTTTAATATATTTTTTTACTTTACAGTTTTTAATTCCTTTTAAAGAACCCATGCTTGTTTATTAATTATAAAAAATATTGTTTTTACGGACCAGCTTATTAGCTGCGGTATAATATAGCTTTACCAACAAGTAAACCCGTGACAACAGGCGTCCTGTACAGGATTTAAAATTAGGATTAAACATTGTTTTATATAAATCGTATTTTGAATATACATGAATATTTTAAATTCAGTTTAAATACACACCATGTGACGTCAAAGCGTTTTACGTTTTCTATTTACCAACAAGTAAACCCGTGACATTTGCACTTCATATAAAGCAGCAGTCGTATAACAATAGATGCACATCGTATAATGAAAGATTGACATAATATATTGATAAGTTGACTATACATAATGATGTAACCACATAATATATTCATAAATGCACATCGTATAATAATAGATGCACATCGTATAATGAAAGATTGACATAATATATTGATGAGTTGACTGTATATAACGATGCAACCACGTAATATATTCATAAATGCACATCGTATAATGATTGGTCGACATTATATAAAGACACATTGACATCATATATTGTTCAGTTGAATTCATATAAGGATGCATCTACAAAAAGAAGGAGTGACACAACAACATAGACAGTCAAAGCTTTCCATATAGTGGCATATACTTTGATAAAAGTAATGATGCAATAATTGACACCAGTCGGATTATTTTTTATATTATTACCATTTTTCGGAAAAAGGGTAAGTACCATTGTACTAGCGAGGTTTATCCACACATAACAGCGTGATTATTTTTCATGCAAGAAATCACGAATATGGCTGTAAAATACGATATGGCTACAGTAAAGCAATAAATAATGTTTAAAATCAGTGTATAATGTGAAGCTACGTTATCTATTACTTATAAGGTATTCTTACATGAAACAATAATTCACCATTTCATTTTTGACATAAATATATGTAAATAAAGGTTCACACCAAAATCTGCTCTCATTAAAGAAATGTTTCTCATTACAGAAAATAATAATCATCATTTCAAAGAAGTTGTTTGACATTTTAAAGATATTTTAAATAATAAACCAGGACAAAATGACTTGGTAGAATATTTTACAGATAGAAATAAGTACGCAACATACAATTCTTTCTTTGAAATTACTTTACATTAGTTATACAAGCTGACGGATGCCTTCGGGAACATATTTTCTTATCAAATCTATATCGCTATGTATGCCTAGCTAACAAAAAATTAGACAAGGCTTTTAAAACGCAATTAATCGTTTACCATTCTCTTTTTAGATAGTTTAAGTGCTCTTTATATCTGTATCTAACGGGCAAAAACGTTCATTAAATAAACATGTATTAATAGCTTTACCTTATTAAATATGATGACTTATTCAGCTTCTGCTTGCCAATTATGTACGCAATTTAGGTCAATATTGAAACACAAGTAGATGCATAATGTAAAATACTAAACAATTATAGTTTTTAAACGTTTATAGCGAATAAATAACAAGAAATAGCTATCTTAGCTTCCTGGTTATAAGATTTTTGTACAAATCTTGGCATAAAACATATTGAGATACTGATTTTAAGCATTTAACAGGTCTCAATTAAAATAGCTTCTACTAAGTACAAATAACAAGCATGAATTTGGTAAAATCATGTTCCGTTTTAGACTAAGAGTTTTTTTCTTCAAGTTTTCGTTTTACTTCCCTTTTTCACAGCACGCTTGAGATGTTTCTAGAAAACCCTTCTGTATGGCTATAACATTCAATGTAGCCAAAAGTATGTTACTCTGATGAAAACAAGGGAATAGCATTCTACCGAAGTAAATTGGTTTCTAGATAAACATAACCTTTTTATTGATCCTTCGAATTATTTCTTTGCAAAATGCCATGCTATTTTATAACTTTCATATTTATTTTTTTAGCTTACCTGACCACGAAATGGTCAAGGAGAGGTATACTGATAGGGGTATGTCCGGCGTCCGTAGTCGTGCGTTGTGTATCTTGGTTGTTAACATTTAGGTTGTTCACACTCTAGCTGTCACAGTTCTGATTGAATAATAATCAAACTTTGTCAGAATGTGTCACAAAAAATACAGTTCAAATTCGAATATGGGTCAAAAATCATATTAACACTCTAGTGGCTGCAGTTTTGCTCCAAATATCCTGGAAATGAATGAGGAAGGTTGTTCTAATGATTTCTAGGTCTAGTTTGAATATGGATCACATATGGTCAAAAACATGAGCTTAAAATAGAAAAATCTTGTTAACACACTAGTGGTTGCAATTTTGATTCAAATATCCTGGGAATGTATCAGGAATGTTGTTTTGATGATTTCTAGATCGAATTTGAATATAGGATATATCCGGTCAAAAGTTTGGTCACAAGAGCTAAAAATAGAAAACTCTATTGGCTGCAGTTTTGATCTGAATATTCTGAAAATTTGTCAAAAAATTGTTTTGAAGATTTCTAGGTCAAGTTTGAATATGGGTCATCTCGTGTTAAAAACTAGGTCAAAGGAGCTAAAAATGGGAAAATCTTATTAACACTCTAGTGGCTGCAGTTTTGATCCAAGTGTCACATATTTTACTCAATTGTCATCAGCTTAAGGGAACTTGAGCATGGCATTCTCGGATGATAAACTTAGATAAAGTCACAGGAGCGAAAATAGAAAATATGTTAACTCTCTAGTGGCTACTGTTGTTATCCAAATATCCTGGAAATTAGTCTGCAAGTTTGTTTTAATGATTTCTAGGTCAAGTTTAATATGGTTCTCCTGGGGTGAAAACTAGGCCACTATGCCCAAATATGGAAAAACTTTGTTAACACTCCAGAGGTCACATTCTTGACTCTATTGTCATCAAACTTGGTCAGAAAGTTTGTCTAAGTAATTGCTCGGATGAGTTCGTTGTGTCCATTGAGCGATCTAGGGCCATCTTGGCCCTCTTGTTAGCAAAACATGCAATTGAAATGGATTTTGACATAATAATGCCGCTTTGTCCTGTAAACAAAGTATACCTGATGAAGACTTTTGAGTCGAAACGTTGTATATTTTTCAAATAAAATAATTACAAATTTAAATTGAAACTGGAGTTGGTTTCTATATTCAAACTTACATTGCTTTGTTATTTACAAATATTCAAAGGCATGTTGCTAGCTGACTTACACACGAATACTCATGGTAAAACTTGTACTTCTATATGAATAAATGTTAGACTATCTTGAATGAAAACATAAAAACAGGCTTGCTCCCATTTTAGAATACCAATTTTTAATTATACCTATAGCAAAAACTGAATCTACCCATGAGACCGGCACACCCATGCCGTCAGAACATATGCACTGCTCGCTATTAAGTAAAGACTTATTATGAAATTTCCTCTACAAATGATAAATGTTCCTGTAAAAATTTAAAGAGTGTCCGTCCGGTTAGCTTAATAGGTAGAGTGTTGGACTGTCAATCGGGCGACCCGAGCTCGATTCCCGGAAGGTGCAGGTCACTTTCGTTGTGATTGATCATGAAATCTCGCCTACGGTCATTCGCACTGTACCTCTGCCCTGGCATGTACAGAAGTTTTAGTTCCCAGCGAAAGTGGGCCTGCCCAGGAACGATGCGATGGGGTGAAATGTGCTCTGGTAAATTCAATGTGGCTTATTGCCGTGATCCGGAGTAAAAACTACCAACACCACCGCCACCAAAATTGAAAGATGAACAAGATCATTTCAGATATTAAGGGTTAAATGGATAAGAAATACAGATATTTGAAGTGTATTAACACGCCAATTATGATAATTAATATCACGATCGTAATGTATGTCATTTTTGTTAGCCCTTGTTGCGTAACCCGACTCAGTCGAAATACCATAATTTTCAATAACAAGTTTTAGGTAGATAAGAGTTTATTAATGTGATAGCTTTTTAGATAGTAAACATTTTGGAAATATAAATATGATCAAACCCTGTTTAGTGAATTAATACATTAAAAAGATGTAATACAGAAACGGCCTGAGCTTAATTAGCATAAATTGCACGTTTTAATTTACATAATTACATATAAAACGCATGAAACTATCATCTAGTCCTTTTTCTATGTCATGTCACAATAATATCGTAGATTCGTACTTTAATGTGAAATTACCAGAAAAAAAAAGATATCAGTATAAAAATCCTCAGTTTGATATTGTAATTACAAATTAATCCGAATGAAACAATCTGCACTTATATAATTGCGATATATTGCTTTCTCAATTAAGTTGACACCATGCTATGGCCCTTGGATTTCCACAGTACTCAATTCCACTTGTAGAATTAAAAAGATCACAACTGCCCGATAATGAGACTATTCCACCATTATCACCTGATGACAGCCATCCACATGCACAGGTGTCCATACCTGCGTTGCGAGCGTCTTCTAAATCAGAGGGTGTCGCTATTGTTGAACCCTGGTCTGCGCATGCTTGGACAGCTTCCTCATAGTTCATCATGTCTGAGTCAGGTTCCGGATTCATTACACGTGAAACTGCAATGATGAATGATGTTTACATTCTGAACATAACTTATATAACGTTTGTCATTAAATTAAGAAAGTGTGTACCGTTTGTACGTATATCTGCAGAACACGCAATATATTTGGAAAATATTCCTAAATTTAAAGAGAGCACAAACGTAGAAAAAGTTATATTCAGAGCAAATTGTATCATGTGATTCGTCCTTTGGTTCTTTACCTTTAAAATAAAAAAACAACTGTTCTTCGTTTGTAAAAAGTACACATTATTATATCTTTTGTTTTCAAGCTAGTATCACTTTAAAACTTATCAGTAATACCAGTCAGGATTAGTTAGTAGAATTATATTGCAAATCTTAAATAAAAGTAAGCTAGTAAATATATTCACTATTGAAACAAAAATGAAATGATATGACTAACTTATTAATAACGACAAAATGTGTTAATTATCAAATTTGTAATAACGACACACATAGTGGTAGGTTTAAGACTTAAATATGTGTGGCTTAAAAATAATTTTCTTTAAAAAAAAAGATATTTAAAAAAGATCAGTCTTATCGGTATTTAACACCGGTTTTGAGTTTTGATGTGTTGGAATCTTGGAATCTTTTCGCTCAAACCGATATTATTTCGATTCTGACATGACGAAATACGGGAGACCACTATTGCTTTTTTCAAGCGTAGATTATTTCCGCTGCCGGTTTTCCTGTCAAACTGGATTGTATTGTGTTTTCATCAGTCACGTTTGTATGTGAATTTCCGCTAATCCAGATGTGCGCTAGAACGCAATATGTGAAAGAGAAAATAAATCAATCACAGGGTAAGTTTTCAACTTTAAATCATTAACATAAAATTCAAAGCTTTGTAAAGAAAATCGAATTGTGATTCTATTCTTGTGAATTTTCTACATGTATAGTTAATCATTTTCTAAAAAAATGCAGTCTTTGACAAGATATTAGGCAGAATTCAACATTTAAACATGAAATGGTAAAATTTTGAATTTAGAAACATCCGCAGATGTGTTCATACGGCGGTTATCATGGAACCTTCAAGGTAAGCCTGCAACATTACATTTTTCAATTTTGCCGTGATGGGTTTTTTCTCTATTCTACAGTGAAATCTTTAGAGAGAGCGGATCCACACCGGTCCCGGCAAACTGTCGCTCCACTTCAAAATTGTGGGGTACGGTAAAACGAGCGAACGGCATTTCAGAGATAGGACGGAATGCCGATTAAAACGGCTAATTGTAAGTTTTGTTTATGTTTTTATCCTGTAATTCATTTAAGTTGTATTTTTCCGAAAATCCATCAATGTAGTTCCATGTAGAATTGTTTTAGACTTCCAATGATCTAAGCTGTTACATAAAGAAAATAATATTAAACCCGAGAAAACGATTTGTTAAATATCAAACCTCCAACCATGGAAACGCTCTACACTTCGGATTTCTTGAAAAAGTGTTATAGAAAAATATCAACCCGTAACAAGAGCTAGTATTTCGTGCAAAATAAACTTATTTAGGTGGATTTCTTGAATTTGCCATTGGACTTTTTTTTCGAAAGTAGTGGAGCCAAAGGGCAAGAAATGGAGCGAAAGGTCGGTTGTTGAGCGTATGTCGATATTAAGTTGGTGTAAAGAGCGTAGTCTATGAATTTCTATAAATAAAAACCTTTCAAAGTTAAAGTAGACGTACTAAAATGTGAAGCCGGAGAAATATGATAATATATTAATTTATTTGTGCTTTAACTAGGTCTATCAATTATTAATAATTTAAGTACTTGCACCGACTGCATGAGCACTGCCTTTTTATTTTGTTCGTTTTGTTCATAGAAACAAACACAATTTTACAGATATTTTTAGCTTATCTTTTTCTTAAAGCAAGATTTGTACTGACAATATGCAGTGTTTGATTATAAAAGTAAACAGTTCTATTTACGCTTTAAGAGGAATATAATAAACTACACAACAATGCTAAATAAGAGAGGAAGTATCTTGAAACATAACACGTGTTATATCCTTAGAACACTTTGTGAACCATTTTCATAGAGATTCCCCAACTTACAAAGTATTTCAATTTCATAAAAACGTGGCTTATTAAATTTGTGTTTGACCTGAACATGTACGTTATAGATTTTCATTACAGAAAGTCATAGTAAAATGAACTCGGTAGTAGTGATCCATGTAATGTGCCCCCTGCATTGCATAATTTTGTCTCTGTTCTGCACATTGGATATCTAACTTTTCAAAAGCATTACATTTTTGCGGGAACAATCGCGTTACACGAACCTGCTTAGGAACATTTATTCGCGGTAGAACTGAAAGTATTCGATTATGTCGAATTTGCACGGACACACGTTTTTAAATGTACATAACCGTGACCTCGAACAAGTGACACCCTGTATTACGCCATGCATATGATTCAATGATCGGGCCTCATCCAAATTTGGAACATCAATAATGGAATCTATACGGCAGCCATAGGTGACACCTTCGCGATTACATTTATTACGTTAAAGTCATTGAAAGGATATCGCGCTTTATTAGTTGCCTTTAAAAGGTATATCTCGGTCTCAACACTCGAGTATTATATAGTTAAATTCTATAACTTTTACATATAAAGATCATAGACCACGCTCCTCCTAAGTCCTAATACGCCAAATTAATATCGCCTTGCACCCAACATCGAACCTTTCGCTCCATCTGCCCTTTGGCTTCACTACTTTCAAAAATTATTGATTTACAAATTTAAGAAATCCGTAAGGAGTAATTTATATTGCGCGACGGACAAGTTCTTATTACGGGTTGATATTTTTCTAATACACTTTGTTTTTTAAAAAATCCGAAGAGTATAGCATTTTCATGGTTAGGAAGTTCAATATTCAATAAATTGTCGTTCACTTTGTCAGGGGAAAAAATTCTCCCGGGTTTAATATATTTTTTTTTGTAACAGCTTAGACGATTGGAAGCATAAAACAATCCTACAATGAACTACAATTTCGAAAAATTACAACTTAAAAGAATAACAAGACAAAAACATAAACGATACTTACAATTAGCCGTTTAGATTTGCCTTTCGCTCTATCTCGGAAATGCCGTCCGCTCCTTTTACGTACACCGCAATTTTGAAATGGAGCGACAGTTTGCCGGGCATGGGATCGTTGGACAGAGACACATGGCACTATAAAATTGCTGAAGAAAGGGGGTGTGTAGTGAAAATTTCAAAAGTCAGGCACTGTAACATTGTAAATTTTCCAATGTATCGATGTTGTTTCAGAATAGCTAGGGAGTAGATAATTTATATTCGTTTAAAAAGCGTTGTTCTTATTACATTATTTGAGACATATTTATGAATATTTACTCAATTTTTTTCAGTGTTGTTAAACATACTGTGATCTTCACATGTAAATTGTTGCTTTCAAATGTTTACATGGTTCATACTGTGTACAACTGTGTCTTTCTCATTTCTAAGTTATTTCTAAAAACCTCAAGATTGTTATGCAAGAGGATTACTTTATCTAAGGTAGGGAGAGTGTAATATGAATACCCCATCCACCTCATGCTGTATAACTCTTTCTTACACATATAACACACCAATGTATAAATGTTTTTAACAGCTAAAATCATACCATTGGTAAATTAATGCTTCCGAGGGATCACGTTATCGAGATTTTTATACTTCACAACAACAGGTGTCAAGTGTTGTGTGGCAGCTGTAAAAAGTTGCACCGTAGATCTACTTCACTTCAGTGTTGTAACATTTTTCTGGTCCTGCGAGATCATTGGTTCCAACACTTAAGTGTTGAAAATTGAGTACCGTTCAAGCCGGTGCTAGGGGCGTAAGTGCTTTTGCATATTTAATTATCTCTCATATACAGACTTAATCACATCCAAATATTTTTAAAAATATAAAAAAAACAAGATCATTAAGGAAGGGCGGCGTTAAATGAACGCAAACCCCACACGACCCAGCAAAACAGGATCGCCAGCAAGGAGCCAAGCAGGATACCAAACAAAAGCAGGACAGGAAACAAGGCAAAACACGGACGGGATAATTACTAGCTTAATAGTAAATAAAACAAAACTACAAGGACATTAGTCAAATCTTAATCCGCTTTGGAGCAGAAAGTTTCGATTATAAAGGGACATTATGGGTAACTTGGACAACCAAGTAAAGGTATGTTATTTGAAAAAGGCGTGAGCTTTTCGGGTCTAAAAAAATAAATGAAGGAGACGAACGGCTGGCCATGGTCGGTATGGAGAGCTTTGGTGCCAAAATGAACGTTCTACAATCTGATTCGGCGAGTGAGTTAGCTGTGCGTAGATGCCTAGTAATTTGCAAGTTTCTAACGCGAGAAACTTCAATATATTGCCTGTCCGGCGTTACCCTGGCAGCTTTCTAGATTAGGACACTGAATAGAACATTAGAGTGTAACATTATTATTATTTACTTAATTTATTAAAAGGAATTCTTAGTTTCTTCAATTCGTTAATATATACATAAACAACACACGGGAGCTGATCTCGATTCAACATACTAGATATATATATTTTAGAAGTAGTTTTTCCATTTCAAGATGAAACTAATGTAACTAACATTCGCTTTTACTAAAAAATAACAAGGGCTAAAAATAAAAAAAAGTTTTGAATTTTATATAATTTTTCTAAACGTTGAAAACTTACCCTGCGCTTGTCAGATATGGTGTTTAAGTGCACATCTGGATCGGCGGAAATTCACATAGTTACATTAATATCCATATTGAGTGACCCCCCCCCCCCAGCTGCCAACGCAGGGTGCCCCTAAACAGTTATCATTGGCAGTTTAATACCGGTGACTGTATATAACTTTTCGTGTATTTTTGTATTGAGCTAAAGTCACGAGGAATGTGAGTCTAGAGTGTAGTGCTCATTGATTCCTTAATTGAATCGTATGACAGATTTAATAAATATTTAGATATATCAGCGACACAAAACTATAACTTAAAAGCTTTTTTTGTACACCCATAATAGGTATTTTCATTTACATTTTTCTTTGATGCTTTCTTAAAGTTATCAATAATGAGACTGATATGTCGATATGATTTGAAAGACAAAACTTTACTACCTGGATAATGAACTTTAGAGTAGGTACTCCACCCATCTGAATGCTCCCATTTAAGGTAAGCTTGTCGTTTATCGTCCACTACATTTTTGTTGGAAAATAGACAGAGGTTGCCACCAATCTGCCACGACACCGTCTCACAATCATGCTGCATTTCGCAAGCAACTATACACCTGTTTAAGTTTTGTATTTGTTGTTGATCTGTGACATAATCATGAAGCAATTTGCACTCTTCCTTACGACGTTTCCATTTACTGTATATGATCTCACTCGGTAAAACTTGCAAGACAAACATATGTAATAGCAAAATAACACAATATATCATCTCCATGTTAAATCTCAATCAAGTTATTGCACTTTGTTATGAAATTCATTCGTCAAAAAAAAAATTAATTCAGAACAAAGTTTTGCTCAATTCTGAAATTTGTCGGATAGCATAGAAGTGTTTCTGGAAAGAAAACATTAATCAATTGGATTGATGGAAACATAACTGAATATAAATTAACTCATTTTAGAATCACGATTGCAGTTTACAAAATAAGCAGAACTTTTGTGTTTGTTGGCAAGTGTTAGAGCATCGCTAGGCCTTGTTTCAGTGAACAATTTCCTCCCTGGAGAGGAAGAGCTAATTGAATTAGGATTATCAGTTCATTTAAATGCATAAGGCGATTTTTACTTTGTCGCTATTTCACGCAAGTTGGTATTTTTGTTTAGATTATTGCATACATCATTCAATCAGTAAAAGCACTTAACACTTGCACGGTTACTTTCTGACAGAAAAAAATAATAATGTCCTGTATGTACAATGTACTAGTTTTATGAAAATTACGTAAATGTGATTTTAGGAAACATAAGAACATATTGATGTGTAACCTTTTCGGTATTTCCATAGAAAGTAGATACACGCACAAACCTATGTGAAGTTTAGGAACTTTAATTAATTGTTATATAAGTAAACAAAATTTTAAGATCATTCGCTCACTACGTTTCTCCAAAAGCAATAAATAGTTTTTATAGTGCAAAATTACCTAAGAATAAAAAGTGTTTAAACATTTTAATCAAGAAAATTATTTATCATCCTGATGAAATACCCTAGTTGATCTATGTACGATTTTCAAATGTTATGCGTTCAAGGCCTGGGGCCCTTTGTTGAATTGATTTGTTTTTTAATAGACCACTTTAAAGGTTTGATTAATATTACGGCCAGATATAAACAGTCATGTTTTAAAAAAAATAATATAACAATGCACATTTGGTTTGTTATTTCTTCAATGTTGTATATGTGTTACACTTTGGGCAAAATACAAAGAAATAGATACAGTCTTAAATCTCAGTCAAGGAATAGTAATCATGTTTCTCTTATCTCGAATTCCTGTATCTTCACAAGGCGATAAGAACATAAAAAATGGTAGTTATTAAGAAAGAAACCCATCATAATTACCCCGCAAACTTTTTTATTTTCTTTGTAGCACACATTGAAGAAAAGTGAGTTTTAAAATACATCGCGTTCGTTTGACAATATATAGGCACAACTTTCATTACAATGTAAGCAAGCATGCGTTATCTCTCCTCAGAGATTTCAATGCATGCCACTTACGATAATTATTATTCAAAATGCATTTGTCATCAATCAAATTGACGTTCTTTTAATAGGGTATAACAGTTTTAGTTGTATTAGATATCTGTACACTTGTAATTTTAAAGTTTATGAGCAATAACTGATTATCACATAATATGGGAATATCCTATTGGGAAAGGACCAAGGGATTAGGTTACTCAAGGCAATGAATTATTCAGAGAAGAATGTAATGTTGTACGGAATTGAAACTGTTTACAAATTGAATTATGTTACATTTAATGAAAATATGACAGTTCTCAGTATGTTATAATGAATGATAAATGCAGAAATGGAACATAAAACTCAATGCATGATGCGAATTCATGAAGACATAAAGATATGCATTAAAACACAAATACGTATGTGATAAATAAATAAACATTATTTATATATATGATGTAGAATGTGATTAATGGGACATTATACATATATGGTATTTTATGATAAACAAATTATTCGAGTATGTGAAAACAAATTGATGTTCATGTTATTAAAATGAGTTTAAATGAAATAGGGAGATGCAGAATAACGCTTTAAAATTGTTTATAATTTAGGTTTGATTATTTTACAAAACTATTAACATTAAGCTTATCGAACGTTATATCAGTTTCATAAATAAATGTAAATGATAAAAGCGGAGGGTGAAACAGTTATTTAATACGCAATATTTATAACAGATTTCCCCTGCATTGGTAGGAGGAAGAAGTATCTACCAAGTAGAAATATAACAAGCTTTATGTAACATGAATCTGGTATGTTTACGCTAAACCTCAGGCATGCAAGATAGTTGTGTGTTTTGTTTGTTGGTTTGTTTGTTGTTGATTTTTTGTCACCGATTTTAACACATTGCAGGTCAGAATCCCCTAAACAACTTTGCGATACAACATGATTTCAGCATACAATGTGTTTCTTTTTCTTTTTCAGTTACTCTAAAAACGATCACTCTTTTCTATCATTGTAGATTAAAGCTACGATTTAAGTTTTAAACGTTTATCATTTCAATCATTTAAACATACTGTCAGATTAGACTTGGAAAATAGACACAATATAATCCGATAACCAAAGGGATATAACTGCAGCATTAACATGATGTTGTTAATACTTCTCAGATGAATGTTTTAGATCGAACGTCAAACCAAAATAATCAGATAGCTGTTAAGATATAAGTCCAACCTGATGCTTCACACCCACGATGCTACATGCCCTGTGAACTGTTTCTTTACAGCTCTATGTTTCAATATGGCACCGAAATACATTCTGTTACATCAGTCCATGTTATTTCTTTCTTCTTATGTTTTTTCACGCCACACACACACATACTACACAGTGGAGCAAATACAGAACATTACACGGGGACACTAAGTTGATGCCATTTTGTGACAACATTTCTCGTTTTTGCCAACATTTCCTGCCAGTGAATTAATCCCGCCCCACGTGCATACATGAATGATCCAAGAGTCACGCTACCAAGTTCGACGTCACTTCCGATTGCCTGCCGTTTAGTCTTCACTAAAGTTACAACAAAATTGAAATTTTCTATGCTTTTATTCGTCGTACTAAATGCAAATGATTCATTGAAGTTGACTTCCGGTAATGCCATCTGGGTAAGTGTATGCTTGTTTTTCACTAACTTGTTACCATAGTAGACCAGGAGACGCACATAAAAACCTTTAAATAGTAAATGAGTAATATACATTGTTGTTTGTCAAAACGAATACGAATTATTCCATACAATACGTTAATAAAAAAATATGACAAATCAAATAACCAGATTATTTTAGATAAGTTATCATTGTTCACAGTTCATTATCCTTTTAACTTGACCAGTAATTTTAAAATGATTAAAATGCTGCAAACATTTGGATTACCATAGATGACCGATTTGAATTAAATAAACAGACATTTAAAGTCAAATAATTGTAAAAGAAGGTGATTAAATTTTTACTATTCGTATACAAAAAAAAGAAGAAAAGAAAAAAAAGATTCTAATTTTTAATTGTACGCATGTTCTGGAAAGATTGAGTGAAAGTAAAAGCCAATGAGCTGAGGATGAATATATGTTTGTAAATTTGTAAAATGTTATGTAAAGAAACGCTCTGAGCAGAGAATGACAGAAGTAAGTCAATGATACTAGTCCCCGGCAAATTAATGACTTTTGACCACATTTTATACTGTTACTATAATTTTCATTTCGTCTTTCAGTCTTAAAATCATTTAAACAGATACAAAAACAACAGAAATTTAGAAATGTTATGATCTGTATGACATTAGAATATACACCTACCTGTATCAGGATCGGGCTTTGGACGGATATTTTTAGCCCTGAGTATAACTATTTTCAATCTTTCTGTATGTGGAAGATACGTTAACGCAATATTCAGATCACCTAATGATGACCCATACTGCAATAATAATTTTAAAAAACTAGCAATCATAGCATAAGATGGGGATCATGCTATGGTAAGATGTCATTATTCTGTGCATCAAATATTTCATACAATTACTTAAATAAGTTTATAAAAGAGTAAAAGAAAATGAAAGGGTGGAGAAACGAGATCTCAATTTCAATATCGATTAACGTTATGTTCTGATTAGATTAAAAGACAAATAAGATGTAGGTCTAATCCTACTTGACTGTTTTAAAGAAAAAAATCATTACTACACATCTTTTTAAATAATAAAATTGAATTACAATAGATAGAAAGACAACTGATTACATGTATTTCTTGCTCCAAATCTTTACATATTATGTCAGATGAGTTCATATTGAGATCTTGGAGTGGAACAACCACGTGGCCGAGTGTATGACGTAATCGACGTCTGTCTACGTCATATACAGAAAATCGAAGACTTCGCTGCCCTATGTCTTCTTGATTCACCTGTGGAATAAACAAAACGTAAACATTTTAAGCAGTTTAATGATGATAAATACTTTAACTTAAATATTTAATAATTAATAACAAATAGAAAGAATAGCTCTAGATGTTCGACGTCAAAAAGGGGGAATGATTTTTCATCTCAAACGCACGACAATTTAGGTAGATAGAATTTCACAAGTCTTCAAAGTTATAAAGCAATATTTCAAATTGAATTGTAAAACAACGGGCAGATATAAAACATAAATAAAGATTCTAAGAACAAAGTTGGCATTTTTGTTGTTAAAAGTCATGACAAAACTATGAACTTTTGTTAAAAGTTGGTATATTCATGATAGTGTCAAAACACCATAATTATTATATTCATGACGTTGCAATTATCTAAAGTATACGATTTACTTAAACGACCAATTGCAAAGAAATTTTGAGTTGAAGAACATAACAGGAATTCTGAATTTGAATTTGGGATAATTATGTTCTCTTGTCGATGATCATTAACACGTTTTCCAAGTTTCAAAGCAATACCTCACAGGTTTATCTTAAAACTATGAACAGGTACCAAAAAAAACTTGACCAGAAGTTAACGCTGAATCTGAAGCTTACGGCGGCGAACATTTCATATTGCAAACCGAATACAAGACTAGTAACGTTATCATGTTACAGACTGTGGGGTCATTTATCACCATCAAAATCAGATTAAATATATTTAGTGGTTGTGTAAGGTCAATCAACCTAGATATGTTAGTAAACCATTTATTCAAAAAGGCTTAGAAGAGACAATGCTTCTGTAAAAATAGCTAACTATAACTAATGATAATTGTTTTCGTAATCAAAGAAAGAGATTATCAATTTTCGACCTTACTCTTATGTATAAAACGGTGTAGAATAGCACGTGCCTTTTGTGGTCACCTTGTGGTCAAAATCAATATAATTAACCAGCCCAATACAAATAACCGGTCCAGATGCAAGTATAATTTGCTTTCATGGATAACGTGCAGATACCACTCATTATAGTGAGTAGACAAAACAAAGAAAGCTCGTATAGTGAAACTGCGATGGAATTTCTAACCATTCAAATATGATAATAAATTACTGGCTTATTTTTTATAGTGCAGCATAAATCAATCTTATTTATTTGCATTGTACCGATAACGCACACAAGTTCTTGAGACTCTTGCTCCTGGCTTTTTTTGTAAAAAGCGTCTCGACAACGTTGTGGAACTTGTGAGGGGAAAGGTTAAATGGCCAATAAAAATTGTTCTGATACTAGTATTCAGATCTTCCTTTTTATTTCTACAGAATTCGGCCAAATAGCAATTATCAAAAATAAGGCCTGGATCGGTTTTTCCAATTTGTTGTTGTTTTTTTCAAACCTATCAGGTTCTAAAAAGTGTAGTCACCTTAATTTTAAGATTGGATGTTTATTTTACTTATAGTTATAATGATGAAAGAGATATATTTCTATACCTTCAATATATTCAACAAGAAAACTATTCAATTTAAATGTTAACTTAATTGTTCGAAATATACCTTTCCTTCAAATACTCTCTGAGTCATTGTTATAACCAACGCAAAATAAACATATTTCAGGTTACAAATTAATTAAGGTCCAACCACATTTGTTATGTTGAACACACACCAATGAAGTAACCATGCAGGCTTACCTCGAAACTAAAAGTTTCGTTAAATGATGGGTTAAGTGTTTTCTTAACAGTTTTTGTTGAATGGCAGATATTTTCGTCTGGTAAAAGAAAAACTTTAACAAATGGATCCCTGTAATTTTCATCCATATTTCGACCTGAAGAAAGAAAGATTGTCGCATAAATAAAGAAATGATTTGTGTTATTGCTTGATTACAATTTATCAATGAATCTATGAATCACATGATGGTGTAGTCCCTTTAACATAAGAGCTATGAAATAGTTTTATGGAGTTCACATTTAAACATTAAAATACAGAATCTTCATAACGATACAAACGGAATAAGGTTTTATTTTTTTGTTTCTTTATATTTCTTTTTTTTTTCTTTTTTGTCGATGTTTAACGATTTGACAAACTAGTGATAAAATAAGCTCATTCCAAACATACATATGTTAAAATAAGTTTATCTGATGTGCATATTAATGAAAAAAGAAACTCAATGATCGTATTTTTTAACTTTTGAACCTACAGCAGATGTTAATACAGTAATATATTAAACTTTCTATTACCTTGTAGCTCTTTGACCTTTATGATGGTAACTAATAGAATACTAGATGTGGCGTCATAAAGTACAGTAAACCATATACGGCCATGCTCGCTGGGATCCGTGTAAGTGCTCCCCGGGAGCACATTTTCACTCTCAGTCCTAAAACGTCATATTTTAGTAATTAATGTTGATATAATCAGACATCTATATACATGCAGCAAAATATATTTACATTTTTCTTGCATTTAATAAGAAGTAACAAGACGAAAGAGCTCAATTACAAAAGATTTAAAAATTCAAATTCCCCTATTTCTTTTAATTTTAAAAAGAATATAGTTTACCCTTTATAGTCATTTCTAATTTCAACAACCATTTCAAGTGTCAAACTTACTTAATTTTTTTATATAGAAAATCTGTAAAAGTATATTATTTACCTAGTAAAAGGTACTTGAGCATGCGTCCCAAGGAAGTTAGCCTGATACTGTAATGCCGTAAGACTTTTTGATTTATCTCCTTCCGGTGAGGGCTGGACCCATTCAGTTTCCATATTTGGTAGATTATCGAATGTGCTTGACCTTACAATAGCTTCGTCCACAGAACCATATGCATTAGGACATGATTTACGCTTCTCCTTCACAGGAGACTGTATTCTGAACGTGGCGGAAATGAAATATTTTATCAAAACAGAAATTAACATCAATATAAGATTATCACTTTCAAATGTTAATTTGCTCTCTACTTATTTTCGTGATGTTTATTTATTTTGTTATGTGTTTACGTAATATTGTAACAAAAAGTTTAGCATATTACAGTGTGTGTATATTGTTTTACATGCCATATCACACTATTCACGTGCACTTTAAACAAGAAACATCCATGAAGTACAAGATTTGCAAATGATTAAAAGGATTTATTTAAATATCGTCTATAATTTAAAAAGACATCTTAATTTAATTAATGTAAATAAAGCAGCATGCCTCAAGGTTCATACTTTTGAAAATGTATTTAAAAGTAAAATATGTGAAGTGAACAAAAAAGTAATTAACATATTGCAAACGGCATTTGCAATCAACATAAATTATCTGCATTAGTAAGATGCCAAAATATGGAACATAGCCCTTACTTTCACGCAATAGAAATATGGAGATATATACTGAAAATCAGTCATTAATCGAACATTATATATAAAATATTTCTTGAAAAGTTTGGAACAATTTTCGCAAGTTTGATCATTTTTGAAATAGTGTGGCTCATCTGGTTGCATGCAGCTTTAACAGAAGTTATATTTGTGCATTTCTGTCCGGAACATTAGAGTGAATTTCGAGAAACCTCCTTTTTATTATTGAGCTTTAAGCACATGGAAAACCGTATATGTACAACGTCAAACAAAACAGTGTACAACTGTGGTGGACTTTTAATAATACATGTATGTTTAAATAGTGCGAATGATCATCGTGTACACTTTTCATAAACATATTTGTATGGTGGCTGATTTGGTACGCTTTTGTGCGTCTAGTTGGCGCTAGCGACAACACGGAGCTTTGTCGCTTGTGCCAACGCGATGCAAAAAGTGTAACAAATCAGCCACCATATGTTTGTGATACAATTCTTAATTATATAACAGTGGTCCATAAGATTTTAGCCTCGTTTTTGATCGTTTTGTTTTGTTTATAAGCAAGTGGATAAGTAAAAATTGTTTGAAGCATTTTGTTAAAAGGACACTGTGATATAAAATCTTGGTATAGATTATATTAATCACGTGATATAGATGTACATTAAGTCGAACTTTTACAACATGTTTCCAAGATCAATATTTGTGGGCTTGTAACATTTGTATGATAAATGGACAATTTAAATGGTTGGTAATAAACTCATAAAAGCTTAAAACCACGTAACATATTGCCGAGCTTATATCAAAGGCCATACTACATTAACAAGCGAAGAAAAAATATAAAGAAACGATCCTTTCCAAGATAAAGTGTATTGACCGAATGCAACTATCACGTCAAGCAAATAAATGTATGGGGTAAATAGACGTAAATAGGAAAACTGGTCATGATTCTGGACGACTCCCTAAAGCGGCACTTATTAAAACGGGGCATGAGATTATGCGAAAAGTTAACCAATCATAGCATCAGTTTACAGCCTCCATCTAGCTGTATATGCATAGATCCCTGACCTATCTTATTCTAATTATCAGTTTAGTGGATTCAATAAAAATTCACCACAAAAGAGCGCATGTCAATGTTTATGGTTAAATCTATAGTTAATCAAATAATAGGTCAGAGTAGGGATCTGTCCATCGAGTAGCACTAGATAATTAACTTAGGTGAGTTGTTAAAAAGATATATATATAATATATGAGCTATAATCAGATTAAAATTAGTAGGGAAATTAAAATCAATATTTTTTGTGTGAGAATAAAAATGTAGACAGCGTTTTCTAGAAATTCTAATAATCATTTTTATCATGAACCATGAACTTTTCATGATTTTTAACGATAATTTTAGGGTTGAGAAAAATTATTTCACTGACCTTGACAGTGGTGCGGACTTGCACGTTGACCTTCCATTATGCATCTCCGCGAGGAACAAGCTAGAAGGTGTCCTGTTTTTATGACGGTTTTTGATTAACATGACCACTACACATAACAGTAGAAGGAAAAATATTCCTGTAACACATGCCACCAGATAAAATAAACTCATTTTGCCTGGAAAAAAGATAGATAAAACAACATACAGCTTTGGCCAAAAAAGATAAAACATTTGCGGATCATTATACTACGCGTGTGTAGTTTATCATACCAGCCCTCACATTATGTAAATTGCTACCGTTTTAACAATATTTATTTGTTGGAATAATACGCTTACTCAGCTATATTTCAAGCTTTCATATAACAGCAGTTCGGATTGTCAAGATTCAATAAAACATGATAATCTTTAGACAGAGATAAATAAACAACAAAAAAATGGAACTTGCCACGGTGGTACCTTTCGGCTTCCGTAGATTCAAAATTTGAATGAATCGTACGCTTGGCATGATACTAAATGTCATATGATCGGGGTCAAAGAAGAATTTTTGATATTGAAAATCGTGTTTCCTTGCAAATTCGACAAACTTAAAAATTTGAGTTCTACCGCGAACAAATGTTTCTGAGCAGGTGCGTGAAACGTTAACTTTTCCTGCAAAAATGTTATTTTGTTTTCAAAAAGGTTAAAATGACCAATTTAGCTAGGAAACCAGTTATGCAAACAGACGACACTTAAATTGGGTTACTATATTTTCTTTTCTTAAGTTTACAGCAAAGATGACCATGACGCCATTAACATGACGTAAGTTCCTGCATCGCGTGCTCTGACACACGTGTTTATGTGACACACCACTAAATCATATATTCATTAGATTGAAAGACCGCGTTTAGTGCACACTGGGACTGATATACTTCTGCTATAAGTGAAGGTCTCTATGAAAATCCTTGCATAAGTGGCAGTCATTATGGTGTGGTAAGTATGTACATATTTTCATAAGGGCTTTGAGGCAATTAAAATTGTATTATATATTATTTCAGCAGAAATGTATACTGTACTATTATAGTGGGAACATTGTAAATGAATAAAAAAAATCATCTAAATTACACAAAACTGTGCATCTGCATTTTTTAAATGTTTCATTCAACACCATTTCATCATTAAATATACACTGATATAGACGACATTTATGATAGTCATCATTACTTTTACTAAGTTTTGTCACATGTCAGAGAAATTATGGGGTTATTTTGTGTCAACTTTCAAAATTATATGCAAGATACCTTTAATTAATTAAATATACAATAATATAAATAGGGCGTTAAAAGATTCGATTAGCATAAATCTCGGTAGATCATGAATATGTATACAAAACGCATTGCTAATTTCTTCAGGCAATTAAAGGCACATTATGCCCCAATTAACAACTATTAATTGTTTGCCTTCTTTAGAAAGAGCAAACGTAAGTTTAAAGTGACATTATGCTCGTATTTTCTTAGTCAAGTTGAGCAAAATTGACTTTACATTTCAAAAGTCTCTGTTTAAATGATGTTAAACAAAGTACTACTTTGACTTCCATACAGACTACTAAATCAATGAAACTGTACTTATTGCAAAAGAAAAAAAAAACAAAAAAAAAAACAGGAGCTAAAGATGGTTCAGTTGAATGGCCTGGATACTGTAAAAGTTGCCAAAATGAAAAAGCTTTTGAGGGAAAAAAAAGCATTTCTGAGGCATAATGGGCCTTTAAGTAGGGATAACTGATGTTAACACTAACAAATAAAAGAAAATAAAACAACATACGTACCATCTGTATCTAGAAACGTTTTTAAAATACCAGAATCAGTTTTATTTCCATGATCCCCTGTCACTTCTCCACTCATACTACCATGCTAACGTCACGCTGTCTAATTAATCCACTGCTTTTATCAAATATCTTAAACATTTCATTCAACACCCATAATATATCAATATCCTTAAGACATTTATAAACAGCATTTACAGATAAGTGAAGATGTTCCCATTTATTCAAACATTTATTCATTCACATACATCCACGTAAACAGACCACGTGACCGTCGTTTGATTTATTGTCACAAGGAGGCAAACTATATTTTCACAGGCGGTTTATCGACCGAAGATTTTGTGTAATTATAAAGATAAAGGTGATATTACGATATTCAAGGTATTAACTAGCTTGCCAGATGTTACCTTTGAGAGTAAAACTCAAGAAAAATAAACCATTTTGAACGTGAGGATATGAATCAATCGATGATGTATTTATATACCTGAGAAAGATTGATTGTTGTTATATTTACCGCAAATAATGCGCGTTTTCTCGGATTTAAAAGTCGTTTTCGATATTTCGTTTACTACGTTGAATTATTTACCTGAGAATTAAGTCACTTTGATACAGTTATGAATAAAAATCACAATTATCATCAGATTTTTTAATCAAAACAGTCACAGTTAGTTAATATTATTTAATCATGTCAAAAATCATGTCAACAATCATGTTAATAATGATGTTAATAATCATTTCAGCATTCATCATGTTAATTGTCATGCCAACAATCATGTTATTAATCATGTCAGCAATCATGTTAATAATCATGTCAATTAACGATCATGTCAATAATTATGTCGGTATTCATCATGTCAATTATTATGTCAATTATCATGTTAATAATTAGTTAAACAATCATATTTATAATTATGTCGGCATTCATCATGACAAAAATCATGTCAATAATCATGTCAATAATTATGTCGATAGTCATGTTCTCGACTTCCTCATCATAATTAGCATCATGATTGTCTTCTTCTTTTTCTTTAAGCTGCATGTCTCCAGAAAATATTTCAAGAAATTCAAAACTGGAGAAAAAGAAACCGAGCTTTTTAAGGAAAGTAAAAGATTTAAGATAAAAGTACTTAATTTCTATGCTTTTGCGTTATTAGGGCTAGCTTTGCAATTTCTGACCTTTTTTATGTTGTTATTTTGGTTGATGGTTGATTGGTTAGTTGCCGTTTGCAATGTGTATTTTTCACAACATTTAAATTTTTATACATATATTAAACAGGAAGCTGGAGATGCTCTGCTTCGGCGATTTTCAGTCATAGATATGGATGAAAAACAAATCTTTTAGTACATTTCAGCGACATTTAACATCATGAATATAGGTTAAAAAACAATAGTCTTGCCTGATCAATTGCAAGGATACAACTTTAAGAAATAGATATTCTTCTTTCACTTTTGAATTGATCAATAAAACCCATTTATCAACCGACACACATTATCTACATTTCAGTTTTAGCGTTCTATAATGTATAAAAAGTTTTTCTATAGTTAAACCTGACATCACGCTTTAATATAAGGAACGTTTGTATGAGACAACAACAACAACAACAATAAATAATGATTTCACTGAACATTTGCTGTTATGTTATATTTAAATACCTACTTAATAAGATTGTTTCCTTAGCAATATTTGAATATAAGGATGGCCTTGAATGAAACACGATATTGTAGGACAGTCAATACTTTCACTTTCCTTCATTCTGTATCACAATAAAGGTACATGTAACAGCTTGCTAACAAAGAATGTGCGAAAAAAATAGTTATATTGCGTCGGTGGTTAATATCATTCTTGCGAAATAGTGTTATTGATAGAATAAAGGTTACAATCTTATAATGGGTTGGTTGAAGAACAAAACTACGTAGTTAAATACCAGTCAGCAACTCTGTGGTAACGCAGATGCATACTTGTATTTAATTTGAAAATGAACATGACTTTGCAAAAAGGAAAATCTGCTGAATGGTTTTCGGTACAAGTAGATAATTGATAATTTAATATCGCAAACATAATTTCAAACGAAAGACATGAGAATTTTGCTATACATTCATTGTTCGATACATGGATGTGACTGCAAATTACGGTTGATGGAAATGGCTGACATAACGCTAGATTGAAATGACTGACATGAAAATGGACTTCAACATTACAATTTCGCTATATTTGGAAATCATAGTCATTAAAATTCTCTTAGTTAAAAATGACGCTATCGCGAAAGGTCCATCAAAATGAATGACATTTAAGGTTCGCTACATGAAAAATTAATGGCAACTGAATTGTTTTCATTAGAACTACGATCCAGGAAAATATCTGGTTTTAAACTTTTGCTTTATGGAAATGACTGATATAAAAATGTTTTAAATATACGTGTTTTTTTTAAATAAATGACACTTTAATTTCGCTTTATTGGAAAATGCTGATATTTAAATTCAGCTTGATGGAAATGACTGACGATTAAATCAAGCTTCATTGTAAATGGCTATCAATTACATTTCATTTAAAGGACTGACATTTAAATTGCATTACATGAAAATGTCCCCTAATGGAAATAATTGACATTTAGATTTCACTACAAGGAAATGCCTGACATTAAAATGTAGCTAAATTTAAATGACCCAACTTTAATTTTTACTATGATGAAATGACTGATACAATGTAATAAGATGACGCTACATTGGGAATGACTGACATTAAATGTTGCATGATGCATGATACAAACGACTGAGTCTACCTTTAATGTCATTGCGAATGAAGACGTATTAAAGTCGAAGCTAGTGGAATGTGTTCTCTTGATTTTTTACATTGTTAACAATTTAAATTTGTATCATTGTTTTGCTTGTCGGGTAGATTTTGTGAAAGTTACTGAAATTTACTATATAAAATAATAAAAGAAAATCAAATTTCAAATATGTAAACAAAAATCTAGGTTCAAGTCATTTGTTATATACAGCTGAATGAACTTTGAAATAAGATTTATGTAAAAATTGTTGCCATTTCAATTTTGCTATGTGTAAATGACTCTTATACATGTTTAAGTATATCTTAGTAATTTTAGTGATAATATGGCATTTAAATTGTATAGATAACCATATTCCCCAGACTTACTCTGAAAGTTTGCTGTATGAAAGTAATTTAGACTTTAAGATGTCGTTCCTTAATAAATGACTATAAAAGTTTGATTTATGTAAACTATTGATATAAAATGTTTGCAGTTAGAAACATTTTATTGAGTGACTTTTAAAATTTGTTTGTTTTTACGTTTATATTTTGTAATTGAGAATTTCTGGTCACCTTGCTCAATGTTATAGTCATGTACCTGACACATGTATAATAATTATTTACGGCAAGTGTTTAAAGACACTTCTGGTAGTTTCTTCTTTTTAGATAGGCAAAAACCGGAAAGAAATAAACAATAGGACCAAATTTTCTTCACCTTTGCATCTTGAAAGAGAATTATAAATGAAATAAATTTATGAAAACTGGCCCTTTCTACGTTGTGAGTCATCCGGTCCTTGAAAGTGAGTCTTTTGCTCTTTAAGAAATTTTTAAGAGCAGATTACTCAAAATTCGTGTTTGTTATAATATCGCTCTTAGGGTGCTGAAATTAAATGTGTCAGATTTTATCCTAATGTACTTTATGCGAATTAATACAAATTTTATTCAGTAATGCACCTTTTTGAAGAAAAATACAAGTATGTTTTCTCATTAAAGCACGGCCAAGTGTTAGTAACAAAGAATTATTTAAATTTTGCATGCCGACTGAAAATGAAATAACAAAATTAAAATCTGATATGAAATAAGGATTCGGTATGCTTGATTTTTAGTTATTTGCTCTGGTTTCAATTTTGATACTTTACAATCATGCAAAGTTTAAAAAGTGTCTGTATACTTGTAAACTGTTTCCTTATTTCATTTAATAAAACCTATCACGTGCAACTTCATAGATTGATTGATTCTGTAAGAGGAGAGTGCCGCTAACAATAACTCTTCACTTCCTTCATTATTCTTAAAATATTGCCCCTTATTTTATCATGCTTATAATATATCCAGGTTTCTTTGTTTCAGCTTGACTTTACATGGTCAAATAACTCTTACATCTTGGCTTTTAATTTGTTAATTTGTATTTAAATGTACACGTTTGCAAATCAACTACAGTTCTATTCTGTTCGATTGACATTGGGCAGACTGAGACCGAGTTATAGGATACTAGCTGAACGAAGGATTTAGTCTTACATGTGTTGCAATGTTTAACATTTCATACTAGTATTCAGAAAGAACATGCGCTGCTGAGGCTTTTGATATATTACATGATGGTTGATTCTGTCACCTACGATTTATGTATTATAACCAAAGACACAAAACGAAACGAAACGTGAAATTTTGCAACAGTTACTGTTGATGAACGCCTTGTTGGGCTGTAACATTTGTGTTGACGTGTGTTGCCTAGTCTTGGTAATTTAATATTTTGTCATATATTGTCATAATATTAGTTATTAAAAGCCACAATTTAACAAATGTATATTTGATCGAACTGCTCTTGTCTTTTGTCATATCAATATGCAATTGATGGGATGTTTGGAGTTGAGTAATAAAAGAGACTAATAACTTCTTTTTGGTAAAAAAATTAAAGTTATAAGTATTATCATTGATAAATATAGTGCATCAATGATGAATATGTAAGATGAAAGAATAACAGGACCTGTCCGAGGACAGCTGTCTCAACACTTGTCATTGCTTAGCAATGTAGTAAAGGGGAAATACATGTACCTCTGAAAATCAGCTTATCAAACTTAACTGCCCTTGATAGTCAAACAAAATATTTCATGTTTAAAGTGAATACTTTCTATGATAAATCAAGGGGCATAATGCAAAAAAAACGTTTTTCAGAATTATCTATCCTCTAAAAATTAATAACTCAAAAATCCATTGGAAAAAATCAAAATGGGAATAAAGTTTACAAAAATGAATTTTAGGATTATCTGCCCTTATGAAATGATGTCATAATATGATAGTGAACATGTATATCAAGTTTGAAGTAAATTACTTTAATAGTTATTGAGCAAATGGACCTGAAAAATGTTAAACAGGACAAAAAATCTAATTTGAAGAAAGAACATAACTTTGCAAAAAAAGGATTACTGGCTCTTTGAAATGGCGTCTTTTTTATGACAATAGATATGCACACTATGTTTGAAATGATTTTCTGACTAAATCAAGAAAATGCATTTTAACTAACGCCCACTTTTACGCCAACGAGAGAGCCATGACAACAGCTCTTCGTATTTTCTCCAAAAGTGAAGCTAATAACAAATAAAAAATTATATAAATACTCAAATATGATAAAATCATTCACTTTTCTAAATATACGTTGTTTCATTCACTACGATGATATCTAAAGTCATGAGAAATGTAACACAAATGCTATTATAATGAAAAATCATTTGTAGGAATAAAACAAATGTTGTCGTTTTTTTTTTTACAATTTAAAATCCCTACATTTCAACGGCATTTACAGATTGATTCCATTTGTTAACAAATATACATGAAATATGGTGGTAATAAATGAACATGAACCTGTCTATACAGCTTAGGTTATGTTGATGTGTTATATTTCACAATTTGTTATTTGTCAACTTCTTAAAAACGTTTGCGACAATCTGTTTCAAAATGAGGTACACGCAATTTCGGAATCATACTCATTCTCTTCATCCATGTTATTGCCATCATCTGACGTACCCTCATAACCTTCATGTGAACCAGGTATTAAGATAACCTTGGAATCATGTGGCGTTGATTCGCTAGGTAACTGTAGTCTGACGACCTTTTTGGTTTGTTCTGCTTTTGTAGTTCTTTTCTTCTTAACATGAGTGTAGTCTGCAGCATCGTCCGTTTCAGACTCTCCACCAGCATCTAACAGAAGAAAAGAAGCCGTTCTACTTCGAGACACATGGTCAGGAATTTCTTCTTTAATATCAGTACCACCTAGGTTTTCCATGATCTTATCTTCTATAGGCTTACTTTCGCGACTTATTTTAGGACTTGATGTCATAACGGGCCCTTCAACATTAACTGGAATATCATTCTGCACCTGTAAACTAGACTGGCATCTTGCATGAGTTTCAATATCTATGTTCATATTGGAAGTATCAACACAGTTGGCATCTGAATGTACGGATGTATGGCCTACTTTGCTATCAATAACGCTTTGTGATGCACTTCCAAGACCCTGGGCATGTAATATGGCTTCAAGTGGCTCATCTCCAAAGAGCATGTGCATCTCCTGCTCCTCTGTTTGTGTAACAATCTTTCCATTGCTTAAATACAAAAACAAGAATTTTATTTATCCTATGCTATTGAATAAAAACCCGTTTAAAGACATAAAGTTAAGGCACAATGGTATCATCACAACATTTAATAGTACGAGTAAACTCAGTTGCTGGTGTTTGGTTAACAATTATTGCCAAATTCTGTTTTACCGTGTTATGTCTAACCAATTTTGTACAAAAAGGAAACAGATTAGTTATCAACTTTGTTTTCATCAATTCATTTCGATTAAGGTATTAAATGGCCGAATAAGGAATATTTTGGATCATTTTATAATATCAAGTAGTGTATTGTACTGCTAAAACATGAAACTGATCATACTAAAAGAAATAAGAAAAATATGCAGGTAACTTGTAATAGCACAACAGTAATGCAAAATATTTATAAATTCAGAAAAATACGTAAAGAAAATCTGCTGACCTAAGTATTTAAGGTATAAGTCTTAGATTAAAATTACCCTGTAAACTCAGTTTCGGCAAAAGCAGGGTTTACCGCTGCTGCTGCTATGATAGATGAAAGCTTGCTAGACTGTCTACTTCTAATTGTGATCAGTTCCATTTCATTCTCTAGTCTTTCAACGTTCTTTTCAGCTTCTTGTCTCTCCATTTCAATTCTAAAATGATTTTCGTATATAATTAAAGGAAAAGTCTTAGCATTAGAGTTTTGATATTCAGATTTATTGCTCTTATCCATATAGCAAGCCGTCCTTCGAAACAACATTTATTTTCTAAATTTACAATATATATCCAATAGTATAAGAAATTTTGTATTATTATTTGAAAGTTTAAAAATTATTTCTATGTTATTTAAAAATGTGTAAATGTCTTCAAGCACTTATTTTGCAAGTATTTCCTATTTTTTCTGAATTACAAAACAATTAGAACCACTTTGTGGCTTGTATATATTTTATATGAAATAGCAGCACATCTTATTTTAAACGATTTATATTTTCTCAATATCATTTATTGAAGTAGCGATAAAAGAAATTTAACATATAAAGTAAGATCCTATCTATCAATGCAAGACTGAACAAAATGCATGTGAACTTAAGTGTTACATGTTCATAATTATATTAACAAATATCATTCCGTCCAACATTTAAGATGACACAAGACTATTAACTTTATTGTCTTGTCTATTTAATGTACGTGTTTATTAGAAATATATGTTTTATTTTAATGTAATCATTGATTTCTATGAAATAATTATCCCAAGAATTAATCATACATACCTCGACCATGAGTACTGTGCCACAAAAAGGGCAGCCAATGAACCAAAGAAGATAAACACAGCCATACAGATGAAGAGAATCTGAGTAGCAGATATTGCTGAAGGGTCTGCGATGACGTCAATAATCACGTAATTTAGACTGATAGTTTTCATACCAAACAGTTGTGAAAGCTCTAAATTGTGAATGTTAAGAAGCCTGTGGAAATGACGAGTTAGTTATAAATATCATTTTTACAACTCACGTACAGATCTTGCAGACGCAGGACCGTTAATTTAAATATTTACTTAACAAAAGAAGATGGCAAGATATTCACCACATCTGGAAACTGGCGCCTCATTATGTCTTAAATCTGATCGTAAGTCTGATCAGATTATACTGGATTGATCCTTTTTGTGTATACAGTATAAATGCATGCTAATTACATAATCTATAATCTAGTTAACTACACACCAAAGTCAAAACTAACACTTATATAATTGAAAACAAAACTCACTGTTCCATTCTTTCATTTGAAACTATATATCCTGACGTTGTGTTGACACCGTGAAATATCAAATCAGTTCTGGAATATACCAAATATCACAAAAGAAAGTAAAAACTGTTTATGAAAATAATGTCAATACCTGAAAATACATATAATTTTTACAACTTTGATAATAAAATTTCTATTCCAGTAAGTTGTTCAACATCATGTGCAATCGAAACTGACATCATTTTAGCACACAGTACAGGACAACATATGCACTTGTGTTACCATTGTGTTAGAAAGTCTCTTTGTATAGACACTAATACTTACTTAGAGAGATCAACACGAGTCATACCGATTGTTTCGTCAACTTCATTGTGGGATTCTACGCGTTCAAACTGAACTTGGATATCAAGTATTTCACTCATGTTCCTAAAAATAAAAATAAAAATAATATAATTCTTGGTCAAATTGTCTTCATGTACGATCTGTACTGAAATGCTTGTACTATCAAGACCATTACTACAAACATATCTGCTTTGTTCCATAGTAAGAACATTTAACTTCCAGAAGGACTTTTGTAGGACTTTTGTTTGATATCAATGGAAAACAATTAAGATTTACACAATGCCTTTCATGACACAGAATCCCAAGAAGGATTAATAACGTAGGTATTTTCTTAAATAAATTAAATTGGAGGAGAATAAGCGCATATAGTGCTGAAATTAAAATTTCCTAAGTACATTCTGCGTTGAATGCCTTCGTTATGGTTAAATCACATTAAATGTACATTGCAAAACATAACATTTTTTACATGTGTATTATAATTGTACATTTTCCAGTGAAATGTCCAAAGTATAGATTTACTTTCAACTAACAATAAAACTGTGTTAATTAAAATTTCCAAGCCATATGTCTTTACCATTTAGAGATGCATTCTTTAACCTTTTTAACTTTTAAAATTTAAATTTTAAGTCATTTCTTTTTGTTTCTTTTTATTTCCTTGCACAAAGATTTTTCTCTTTAAACATTTCATATATCTATGCAAAAACAATTTTGTTCATTGAGCCTGAACCACGTGATCTTTTGTATACAGCATACTAACACCATAAATGACAGATTTGGGCATGTTTTTATCAATATCTTTGCTGTTTTTCAACCGATTTGACGAATTAAGTATATTTGTGATATAAAAAATCAAATTGTAAAACAATAGCTAGAAAGGTGATTAGTGACATTTTTGAAAACAATATTGATTTCTGTTTGACCAGTACACAGCTGTCAAATCCATATTACACATGGTGCAAGTCGAATTTGATGCCTTGTATTGCAAAAATTCCTTTTCAGACAAAAGTTAATTCAAATAAAAAAAATGATATTATCAATATTTACATTAAAATAATGAATATGACATTACCGAAGAACCACGTGATCTTTTGTATACAGCATACTAACACCATAAATGACAGATTTGGACATGTTTTTATCAATATCTTTGCTGTTTTTCAACCGATTTGACGAATTAAGTATATTTGTGATATAAAAAATCAAATTGTAAAACAATAGCTAGAAAGGTGATTAGTGACATTTTTGAAAACAATATTGATTTCTGTTTGACCAGTACACAGCTGTCAAATCCATATTACACATGGTGCAAGTCGAATTTGATGCCTTGTATTGCAAAAATTCCTTTTCAGACAAAAGTTAATTCAAATAAAAAAAATGATATTATCAATATTTACATTAAAATAATGAATATGACATTACCTTCGGTAGTCCTCTAATTTTTTGTTAATATCATCTAAACGTAGGTTCACAGTAAGGATAGGCTGGTTTTTTGTTGGAACAACGTGTATCTAAAATGCATGAATATATTGTTCACTTGTGAGAGAGTATATTAAAATGTATTTAACGATGCTCTAACAATATTGAGTGATATGATAATCAAATATATATTTTAATATTTCAAATTTCAAATTTCAAAATATTCATAATGTACAGTAGGGTTAACGTTTCGGTGGTCTAAAATCTAATTTTCGTGCGTGCGTTTTTCGTATATCATCCAGGCGTATATCGCGCAACGTGCGTTAAATAAAACGCTTTCTCAAGCGTGCATCGTTTACAAGCGTTTAACGTTGATTGGGTTTTTTGGGTTTTTTTTTTTGTTTATTGTTTTTGTTTTTTGTGTGTGTGTCGCTTTTCGTGCGTTTGAAAGCATGCGTTTGTTATCCACAGAAACGTTTAGCGTGCGTCTGCGTTCGTCTCAACGTTTAAGTACTGTGTTTTGCATCTGTTACTACTGCGAAGTTAAAAAGTATCTTAAATAGATATATTTTGTAAATTTCAGGTTTATAAGAGATGTCAAAGAGTGTCTCTTTCGAATAATAGAAATATTATATATAGAAATATTATTGTGATATTTGCATTAAAATTTGTGACCGCATGGTGAATATACCGGATTTCGACGTGCATTACGCCAAAAATTAGAATGTTAATCCTATTTTACATACACCATCTTTGATATTCAATTCAGCAAACATGTGTTTATATACGTAGCAATATATCCGATATCAGGTTCGTCAGACATTATGTGATGGTAATCAGACTAGTCCCCCAACCCCTTTTACCAGTTTAACTTCTGACGTTTCTTTAGACTGTCCGAATCCTATTTTGGGTGATATTTAATTTAGACAGTTCCTTCCCATTTTTCTTTTTTTTTTCTAATTAAAAGATTTATATTGATGATATGTTACAGCCTGACAGGGACTCAAACCCGAGACCCCCAGAATACCGTACCGTGGCTCTACCGACTGAGCTGTGCGGCCGCTTACACATTTTATGTGCTTTAATAGTGAACACATCTAAACCGTGGCAAATACGGTAAGTTAGTTTTAAAAAAAAACAGGTAAATTAATTCTCAATTTACACGAATTGAAAAACCAACACACATACTCTCTTGACAAAAATTACAATGACAATATATTACAATAATAATAATTATTTATAACTAAAATGGGATGGTACATTTATTGAAATTTCCATTATTTAAACATTATAGTGAAAACTTTACTAATACATTGTTCAATTTCTATATTTTTGTACAAATAAAAATAGCTAGACTTTTTCTATATAAGAAAATTCAATGGTGGCTGATTTGTGCCATTTCGTACTTTTGCTTCGCTAGGCACCAGGCGAAAACTCGAAAATACGACTAAGTAGATTTATCGTATTTTTGCCCGGCGCCCAAGGCACTTTGTTGTTTATAGCCCTTGTCTTGGAAATGCATTATCATTTCAGTTAGACGTTTATTCTAATCCCTTTAAGCTCTGTGACATGTTGTACATCAGAAAAGCTATCTTTATTAGAAAATTTGAGAACAGTGTGATTTTGTTAAAACACTAAAAAAAACGCAAAATCAAGTCTTTAATGTTCCCCATTGCTGTATGGACAAATGCATATCTACTAGACGCCGCTTGCAAGGGGCGTCTAATAAACCCGTTTAAAAATTACATGTAAGAAACAACCGTGCATACTTACAGTTACGTTAATTGTTGACCTCTTTGTGTGATGCATCTCCATCAGTAACACTGATAGAAAGATAAAAAGACTTCCCAGTTGTACTCGCAATTGCAACTAATGTTATGATTTCACCTGTGACTCTGCTCACACCAAATACATATGAACGACCACCTGTTACGTTGTATCTGAGCTTTCCGACGTCAGATGTATCATTATCTTGAGCCTTATCAAAACAACAAATAAAACAAAGATTGTTTATTGGTATATACTTCTCAGTAAACTGATTTGATATTCATGCCCCGATTTTTGAAGATGAAGCATATTGTGATGTGGCCTGTCCGTACGTTTTCCGATCAGTTGTAGTTAATAAAACTTAGTATGGGCATTTGTTCATGGCAAGGTCATGAAACCTACTACGTTTAATGTCAATCGTTCAAAGATAAAGGTCACTGTTGTCTTGATAAACTTAAGCTTGTCATACAATATCTGAAACTATAGTTTTGCCATGTCTGAAAAATTGGTTTTTTTAAAAAGGCTGGAAATTACTAATTAATAAACTTATCCATGCGGTTAATACCGTTATTCTATGTATAACGGATTATATAACGATTGTTTTGTATGTTCAATATGCAACACAATGTAAAATATGCCACTGCGACAGCAAATGCTGTGGATGATTTACTCATGTAAAGTATTGAGGCAAGTAATAATAAAATATGAAACAAAATCAACAAGGAAGGGCGGCATTTAGTGAACGCATCCCAAAATACGACCAAGCACCACCGGCATGGAGCCCTTCAGGAAACCAAACAGGAAAGGGTACACGGGAAATCCACGGACAGGACGTGACTATAAATTATCACAAACTGTCTCTGTTTTATTGTAATCGACATTAGATAATATACAATTTGGGATTATTAATTAAACATTTTGCTAACAAATTATATATATATTGTTATCATTATGTTTTCTTATTTATCATGAATTCAGCCTGTTACATTTATTATTAACGTACTTTATATAACTGCTGCATGTTCAAGCTTAATCTTTGAATCTTTATAAGAAGTATGAATATGTTCAAAACATAAAAATTACCTTAATGACACCAACAATATAGTTTGCTCTCACATTATCCGGAACACCAAATACTCGTTCCTGGTCGTTTGTGAAATGTGGGGAGTTGTCATTGACATCATCGACATTCACAATGATTTTTATACTGGAAGTGGCTCCTATAAACATACAGAAAACGAACGAGTTTTAAAAAGTTCTGGAACTCGTGTTATTAGTTAGCTTCATTATACAATATATATAAGTTTATTATATCCTTATAAATGAAATATTGATAAAGTAAAATGCTTTTTTTGTTTTCAGTATTTTTTTCACTCTAAAATTTATTTTTCACAGTAGTGAAGCATATTTTCCGTAATTTAAATGATGTCTTGCCGGACAACTTTCTTCTTAATTCAAACAATACATACAATTAAAAGGGAATTCTTTCAAATCATAAGATTAGAAAGAGATAAGATATATAATAAACAGAACATTCAAGGTTTTTCTATCAATACGGGATTTATTTTTCAGTTACTGCCACTCCTGAAATATTTATTTCAATACCACTTGATGAAATTAAAACTTGTATTCATTGAAAAGAAACTTAAAAATACTCTATATATCATCAAAAAAATGACATCATAAAATACATGTATATTACCAACATATAATCATAGTATTGATGTTTATATCTTACGTTAATCGCTTGTTTAATAAACATGCCCCCAGTGATTTGATTATGCACCTCTATCTTATTTAATTAGTGGAAGCGAGAAAAGATAATTGTTAATTAATTATGTCTTTATACTTAATCACTTCCTATTGACAAAAAATGTCAGCAACTTAAAAAAGAACACATACATGTACGCGTATATTCAATCTATTTAATTAAAATAGTGATATATTACTACTGTAACAATAAAAATGCTTACTAGATATTTCTCGTTTTCTACGCAGTGCTGATGTATGTGCAAATATTATAATTGTGTACTGGGCATATTTTTCTCTGTCTAATGGTTTAATACACTTTAAAACTCCTGTTTTGGGTTCCACAAAAAATAAATCCATTCCTGAAGTGAACAATAAAACGATATTTAGTCATACAGGCTCAATATTAATACTCTTTAGTACATGCTTTTCGGTGGTTTAAAGAAATGTATCAGTGAAATATAAAACTAATAGTTCACTGAAAATATCAATTTGATATTTTTCACTGTTTTAAATCTAAGCCCATTAGGTTATGTCCGTGAAATACCAGCGTGCACAGTACTGGAAACCAACTTAATGACGTGACGTCGTAAATAACGTCACGTTGTATTATTATTTGGCGCGCCTTTTATTAAGTTTATGAAGAAATGTCTTTTAAACGTCGTTTCTTTACATATAATAAAAAGAAATTAGTTTAATTTAGTGCAGGATCTGAATGTATTTCATCTTGTGAACACCAAAAGTTCATATTTCACTCGTGGCTGTGCAACTCGTGAAATATATCTTTTGGTGCTCACTCGGTGAAATATATTTCGACCTTACATTAAACTAAAAATATCCTGTATTTATCAAATTTGTTGTTTCAGTCCACACAATAAGTTATAGTGAAACGGAAAGTATTGAAGTCCACGCAACACACGCAAACTGACGATCATTGAGTTTGTTCATTGACGATAATGATTCATGTAATGTTAGCTACTATTAAAGACAAATTTAAACGGATTGTTACAAAGAAAAAGTCGTAAAAGAATAAAATACTGATATAAGATTTTAAAACACAACCTTAAAGCTGTTTGTTGTGGTTTATTTCAGACCATTTGGCCACCGAAGGTTCGTAAGCAAGGTGGGTAGCTTCATAAAATGAAAACAATCACAAAACCTTGGCAGGATTCAAACCCCGCAGAATGAAGTATAAATGTTTAAAATCAAAATCCTTAACCACTCGGCAACGGACGCCCCGTGAAGTATTGCTATTGGAAAACCTTATACAAAAATGGTGTAAATGTATAAAAGGTAATACAAGTAATACAAACGAAAATGTCGCAGTTAACATTTTATGAATCACATCAATCGTAAACAGCGATGTTATGACGACAAAATTGTGTAAAGACAACACTTAGAACTGAATAGACACGGTATATTGCAAGCCTTTTTTTAACGTGGTTCGTAGGAATCACTTTCTGAATTGAATTGAATTGTGTTTTAAAGGGAGACACAGGCAAAAGTTTCATTTTTTCGTTTTGAATTTTTCATTAATTAATTTGTAAATGTCCTCAAAATGAATACACTAGACAGTCACAGGAACAAAACTTTCCTCCTTATAAAGAATTAAATAGTGATTTCCTAACTTGACCCACGTGGGTCAGGTTAGAGCGTTAAGATTTTATAATAGTTGACACAGTGAACTCCTGAAACGTTAAAGAACATGCCAAATGAATGATTTAGGTTTGTTTCAGTCATACAATATCCACAATATCTGTTATTGTAACTTCCAGGGTTTGTTCAAGTCACATGACTAGTTTTAAAACTACTCGGTGTTTCTTTAAATGGCTAAATTTCGTTCACCATATAAAGATATAATTACGCTTCAAACCCAAAATATATAGAATTTATACAGAAATTCATGCTCGGACTTTTACAAAATTAATGTCATTTGTCGTGATTTCAGTACATATTTGTCATTAATTTGTCTCAATATCCCTTAAATGTATGAATAAAATGGACTATACTACAATATCTAGTCACTTTTCTCTGTTCAAGAGTCTTTCCTTGTTCACAAGCGACCGGAATCTCTGTCTAAGTTAACTCATATTTCAGTTTTCATGAATAATTGCTTGATTTGAACAGTGTTATATATTTATAGTGCAATCTTCAAAACATATCATTAACTTAAATCTTAATAGCATAAACTATTATTCAATAAATACATTTATTTTAAAGTTATTACCAAAGTCATCAGTGTTTGTCTTAGTTTAAATGTTAATGATATTGCAGGTATTTATGTAAGGCAGTAATTAACACATAAAGGCCATTTTTTTTTATCTTTTTGTTTACTGATTTTTTTCAAAAAGGGTAGGGTCGGAGAAGGAAGAAAAAACACTAAAGGAAAGAAAAAAGTGTTCATATCTTAATGTCTGGAAGGTGATATACTTTGTAAGTATCTCTTCTCTTCTGTTTAGTCTATCCCGATTCTGATAAATGTGGTACGTACTTACTAGATAAATGAAATGACCAACTATCTAAATTTCAAACTGCTTATAAATACACAAAATATCGTTCGCATATGTGAAAACAAAAAAGCATCCACAAATTGATAAAATATCATGCTGCCATTATTTAATACCAAACATAAAATCTACACACGAGATGACCTCGCCGACCCTTCAAAAGAGTTGGTCAAGTTTTGATGTTCACACACATGTAGTCCCAGTTCTTTAATCCGAATCATCAAAGGTGCCGAAACTCAACTGACTTGCACTCATTTATTTAAATTTTAGAAGTTAAAAAACTGTCAAGAAAAGAATACACGTGTTAAATTTTTGCCCAAGTTGAAAAATAATTCTATCGGATAATTTGCAGGTCAGTCACTGACATAATTATGTAATTTATTAATCATACTGTAAGTGCATTTTTTTATTTTGTTTGAAAGAAAATCCGTATTCAATCTCCTTTTAAAGACCAATGTTTTTGTTCAATCTATAAATGTTGTCACTACATTTCTATTCTACGCAATTGGACCTTCAAAATATATTATTTTATACAAACATACATGAAAGATATTTTAAATATATATGTATAAGCCTAATTAAATCGGCGAGAACAGTTTGAGCCATTTTACAGATTTAGATTTTTTTCTACATGCACAATACATCGCCGTTAAAAATTATCTCGACGTTTCTTTGACAAGTCTAATATGTTGGACTTCTCTAAATCTCCGAAAGGACATTAATATCTAAATTTAATAAGCAGCGTATTTCAACGCGGATGTTTTGGGGCAGATTTTTTTCCTTTCATTTTCCCAAAAACTGGATGCGGCAGGTCACTTAACCGAAGAATAAAAAAATAATGGCCCAAGAAATAAAAAGGGATGCATTAGACTTTTCCCCAAATTTTCTTAATATGTGACAAAGTAAGGACTTAATGAAATGAATGAGTTCTCTTAAACAAACCTGTTGGTAATACATTTGATATTGTATAGGTTGCTCCATCGCTAGAAAACTCAGCCGTTGTATTAAGATCCACAAGTACAGTTGATTTGTTAAGGTTCTCCATCAATGACAGTTTTATCTCCGAAGTATCAAAATTAACATCATGTCCTATGACGTGTGCAATTACCTTACAATAACAGAAAATACTGCTTGCAATAAAAGGAATCATTGATTAAAATAACGCTAGATAAGAATCTAATGCTTATAACAAAAGAAACCAATGCATTTTATAATAATGCTAATAATAATGGAAACCAATTTGTAACATTATAGAAATCAATGCTTATAATAAAAGAAACCAATGCAAATCATAGTGGAAACAAAATTTAAAACAGGGATGAAAGGTAAAAGGTCAATCATATCTGATAGATTTAAATTTAGATAAAATCAAAACATAACCTGATAATGAATAATTTACTTTCAGTTCACATACAATGGATGATTGTAACTCAGTTTATTAGAGTGACATTTTCTTGAAGAATTGTAAAGCGAAAAACACATTTGTTATTGACTGATATTTTTTACATTCAACAAAGAATTATTGCATCATGCCTTACAAATTTCCTCAGCTTTATTCATTTATTGGTATACATTTCGATATTTCTTTAAATGCATGTCTAAGCAGTTTTTTTAATTTAACAACATTATAGCAATTGCTATTATATTCCGTATGCTGAAAAAATGCATGCGCTACCTTATTCTAAAAAACATTTCAGCAGGCTTTAACCTTTTCCCTTATATAGACGTGTTTTGACGGCTTTTTTGAGGCCTCAAACAGAGAAAAATGCCCTATTTATGCCCCAAACACTGTTTTTCATTTGAGAAATGTTGTTAAAAAAGTGACCACTTTTTCGGCGCGGCCCCCATCACATTGGTTCATCAGGGGGTTGTCAAAAGGGGGATGTCCACCTTCTGTTCGGGGGTTTTGAAGGGAACGGTGGTCCCCCTCGTCGCCAAGAAAATTTTGGACATGTGACAGGCTAAAAATGGCCTCAGGTTGATCTTAGGATAACTAGTAACTGACGCTGAAAAGCCGTTTACTCTTTCCTAATTCATTGAGAAGTTGCAGCACTATCAGTTTTGATGGAAAAAAAAACAATGCAAAATAGTGATTTTTCGCAATTTTGAGACGTCCATCCGTTGCCATGGTAACAGAAAATTTACGAGTGAGCATGCTGTTACAGAGGCTATGGTCCAGTCAACATTGTGCCAAGTGCCATCAGTATTGAAGCATGTTTCATAGTTTCATAGCAGTTTGAGCTTGTAACAGGAGGCTTTTCAATGAAAACGCCCATTTTTAACAATATGCTCATTGGGTAAAAGGTTAAGGGAAAACAAAGTGTCGATTTTTCGTGAAAGAATAATTCTAACAAAACAAATAAATCAAATACAAAATATATTCAACTTACTGTGCAAGAGGCATTGCGGCCATGTCCGTCATCAGCGACTGCTTGAAAAACATACATCTGCCTTTTACTAGAAATACTTTTTTTGAGGACAATCTCACCGGATTTTTCTCCAATATTAAAATATTCAGAGTCTACGCCTAAAACAATAAGTAAACATGGTCAAATTAATCGAAAACAGTTAGAATATCGAATTAAGAATATAGAATTAATGGAACTTATATAATATGCCTAAATGTACCATTCCTTTATGTCTTCATGCTAGATAGAATCCTCAATTGTTGCATTTGGTAAATCAAAGTAACTACACTGGGGTTCCAAAAGCCTACAGGTATAAACTTTGAATTTCTTACATATATCATCTTAGGCACTTAAAACAAAAAGATATGCAAAAGAAATACACTCAAAATATAATAAATAATGTATAATGGTGCTATTTCAGCCCGATTGTAGTGAGCGCTTTGCAATTGTTGTATATTAAAATAATAGTTTTCCGAGAGAGGGGCCGATATCGTCAAAATCAGTTATGGACTTATAATGGCCATGATATCGAGGTAGTAGACACTGTTTAATTTGTCAGATTATTACACTGAACGAGACATTTGCGAACTAGAGATATGAAAACTTGTTTATAAAATGTTGTAATATAATGACTAAAGCCTAGGATTAATTGCCGGATGTTAGTATGCTTTACTCTTGGTTCATTTTTCGTGTTTATGCGTCCTGCAGATGAGGAGCGGTTTAAACAAAGTCTTAAGAAGTAATGAAGTATGCGAAGGTGAATTTCTAGCAATGCTGGGGCTGTATGATGGGAGATTTATGAATGTATCCCGTTGTAAATAAATCGCTTTAGTATTAGGGTTGTAAAGTACAGTTTTTAATTTGCTTCGACAGATGATAACAATGAGGATTTAAGAATATGGTTTACAGAAATATGAATGTAGTAGTTTTTTACTTTTTGTGTTATAAACCCGGCACTACATGGGTACAACACAACTTGCTTCTCAATTAACTAGCGGGTTAGATAAATTACGTATTCTCAAATGTCATCTTGGAGCAACCGAGATACTTTTTTCAAAATTTAAATGCAATACGATTGAATAAAATACCTTAAGCCAAACTATGGATGCGAAACTATAACAACAAACCTTTGTTTTCATATGTATGGAATATTTAAAACTTGCTTTTTATATTTGATGTTCAAAATTCATTTATAAATAAATGACCTTATGCAGAAGTACTAATTATAAGTTTACCGTCTTTAAATTTGTTATATATGTATGTATTATATGTAAATATATGTTAATGTCCATTTAATTAAACTTTTGTTATAAGTTCTAGATATGTATATGTTCTAGATATGTTAAGGGGCGTGGTAGGTAGTCTGCACTTGACAGTACCGTTCATGAACAGGCTCAATCAAACCGAGTTTACAACATTTTCAATTTTGCCGTGTTGGACTTTCTTTAGAGATTCTTATTTTCTCTATTGTTTAACATTAATGTTTATGTATTATGCTGATATATTTTATTCTAGACCTACATCAATTGGAACATTTAACTCGAAAAAATATTCTAGCCCATCATGTCAAAATAACATCAGTAGAATCCCTTTGAACATCAAGTTGCTGAATTTCTGGAATAAAAGTGCCCTGCTTCAATATATTACTTGGATATGAACATGAAAATTAAGAAATCCAGCAAACAACATACTGAACGGAAATGCAAGCTGAGCTGGGTCTCAGTTTGTGACAAAGATTTCGTTCTTTTGGGGAAAGGCCTCATAGTATTTATTACAGCCTTGATGTGTGAAAATCTTACCTTTAAGAGAAAAAATTGAATTCGGTACAGAGACTGTCAAATTTAGTAAAGAATCATTCCGCGATGCTGAAGTGGTGATATTTATTTCATACAAATCCTTCTTGAACTTGATGATGTCGTCATATACATCCACTACATAAATGGTAACGTTTTCCACAGCATTATTAGAAGGTGAACCAAGATCCTGGGCAACTATGCTAAGTGAGTACATGGATTTTGACTCGTAGTCTAGTTGGCTTTGTAAATAAACAGAACCGCCTGAAATGAAATAAAGATCAACAAAACTATAATATGTAAATTAAAGATAAAAAGCGATAAGATTGTAAAGCTTTTGATTAATGAATCATAAGTATATGAATCAATTGATTCATAACGTAAGAAAGAACTAAATACTATTCCAGTTGTACCATAAAATACTTTTGTGGGAGGTAAATGATAAAACAAAATGTTGTTTAATCTGTAATGTAATTATCGCTCCACTTTATACCTGACATATCATCACTGACCAATTACCAATACATGTATATATTAATAAAACCTACTAAATGGATCTATTCCAAAAGGAACATCATCTATGTTCTGAAGTTTGTATATTACTTCACCATTTAGCCCAGAGTCTTTATCTGTAGCGTTGACACTGAATATCTAAAATACCGTATAGAAGGTGATAAATGCTTATTTTCGTTGTAACTGTTGTAACAATATACTTAACTTAATGTACCTTTAATTGTTTAATTTAGTTTAAACACATTTTATTGCAGCACATACATGAAAATTTTTAAATGCAAATTTATGCAGGTTATAAAAAAAGCAAATGGTCGGGCAACAATTTTAAAAACTTTAAATTTAAACCCCCTTTTTCCTATTTATTGTTTTCAATGGTCCTCAAAAATTACCAAATTAACTAAGGGCGCTGTGCATTTTTAATTTTTTTTTAAGCGAAAAAATTGTTTTACTAACTAATAGCATAAATAAAAACCGGTTAACCCAAATAAAATTTTATCTATGTATGGGATGTGAATAGATTTTTTTAATTTAAAAATTTTTATAGACATTAATATTTGATTCATCAAATTTTCTAAAATTTTTAAAAACCTTTCAAGAAGTTAAATTTTGCTCAAAATTTTTACTGTTACTGCAAGCAGAAGCAACGTATAAGAATAAAATTTCAATATGAAAAGTACAAATTTAATTCATTTAAGTGTCCATTAACTGGCACAAAAATGACATTTATATCAATTCATCTTTCCACCAGCTTAAGGTTCATAAAGAGAGACATTCCGTGAAACTTACTTCGAATGGTTTATTGTTTTCTGACACATTATAGAATTTCCTAGCTTTGTTAAACACTGGAAAGTTGTCGTTCACGTCTCTTACGTAAATGTTTACTTGTGAAGTTGTATTTAATGCAGGCAAACCTTTGTCAGAAGCCTGTAAATGTAACACGAAAACATAAACAAGTTTTTCATTTAATTAAATACCCAAGTACAAGTTCATTCCAATGGTGAATCATTTTAAACAATATAGGATCTATACCTTAATAAATTTAGATTTGAATTTTAATGTAATTATAAATTCAGACAAGAATTCGCTATTATCAAAATTCATGATGATAAGTTTGTGTATTTAAATATACAAATATACGAGTATGCGGTAAAATTGCTTTAAAAGGAAAAATAATCGGATATTAAGCAAATTCATTTACCGTTATAAATAATGTATAGGATGTTTTTGTTTCGTAATCGAAAGTACCATTTATAATCAACAGTCCTGAGTTGTTAATATGAAACAGTCCTTTTTAAAAAAAGTTTTTTTTCTTTTTATTACGGAAAAGAAGTCATATTTTTTAAATATTTTTGTAATTGTTTTTGATTTTTAAAATTAATGAACATTTTCATATAACAAAAATTATAAAAAAATGAAGTAATTATTTTTAATGTTTTTATTAATTTTTATTTTTAAATATAAAATGGTTTCTCACACATGTTTTTGAGATTAATTTATTTAACATAATAATGCAGCTGTACAAAGTAATATATACATAATTTATAAAATATGATATGATTAATATATTATCGTTTCCTTTAAAATGAATTGGTCAGGAAAGAAACATCTGTAATAGCAGAAATAGTTATGTAATATTTAGTACCTCACGTGAAAGAAAACACGAACGCATTATATGTGGAAGTTATTGTAAGTGTTAGATATGTGATTCGATATGACATTTTAATAAAGTCTTAAATACCAATTACCGTGCATAAGTATAAAGTATCAGATAATAAAGTGCTTTAGAACAAATATTATTATTCATCATAGAGAGGTTCATACTAAATCAATTTAGAACTATATCAACATCTTGTTCTCAAGAAATATGTCACACGAATATCCAAATGATATATTTATATAGTTTTTTTATATTAATAGTTTGTATATATTTTTGTAGTTTTTATCAACATTAAAAATAATAGAAAATGTGCCGATTGTAGACCAATCTATTTAAAGAACTTATGTTTTATGTTAAATAGTTTCATTGTATTGATCAAATTTAAAAATAAAAACATACTGTACGAGTTGTTCAGACTGTAAAGTATATGGGCATTTTCTCCCTTATCAAGATCATTTGCTGATACATTTCTCTTTATGTTCACGGTTTTATTTTCTGTGATATGCAGTGTGATATTGTCGTCCAAAAACACCGGAGCATTGTCATTGATATCATCAATAGTGACTTTAACCTGCAAGTTATCAAGAAATTTCGTACGAGTTAATATTAAGAATTTAACATTGTATTTAATTCTAATATTCCCACTACCTTCTTTTTAAACGGAAAAATTTGTAATAGCACCTGAATTCTTCCTCAATCAGTAAAGCTGAAAAGTCGCAATGTGACATGTACTGTGTCCTTGCGAATTAAAACTTAACCAAAACAAAAATGAAGTAAACAATAAAGTACTTCAAGACAGAACTACCTATATATAGCTAACATTATGCTTAGAGCGATCCTGTATTTACTATATGGATCAAAACAATGATGTAAAAGTTGCAGTAATAAATTATCTAAGATTGTAACAAAAGGCATACAGCAGCAAATGCTGTTCTTTCTGGCGTTCTTCCGTCTCTCACTTGCACAGCAAATACGTAGTTATCGATCATTTCTCTATCTAGGTCCGCTATTGTGGTGATCCTTCCCTGAAATTACAAACACTAAAATAATACACTTTTTTTTGACGATTACTTGATTAAAGAAATAGATTATATATATTCTCAGTATATTGTGATCAATAAAACATATTTCAAAAGGATAATTTAACCATTCCAATAAATTCTAACGTCGTTTACATTTATTGTTTTCATATACACTAGGTTTCAGTTTAATTAACAATAACAACACAATTCTAATTTATGTTAGAAGACTAAGTAAAATATTTGATTAATGTTTACTGAAGATGTCTCGATTTTAAAAGGTTTCGGTTTGTTTGTGTAGCCACTTATCAATTCATAGGTCATCTTTTTAATTGTGTCATTTGTCGTAGCTTCGCATTGCCCAACTGTTACACCTACAAATAAATAATTATCACCATTTGGAATATAAAAAATATCAATATGATAACTTATCTTTGCAACCTAAATGATTTCAAACAAAACTTATCAATTCTATTTAAAGTAAAAGCCAATATGACAAATGTTAAATTTGAAATAAAAACAAAAGTAACTTAATTATTTGTTACCTTTTGGCATGTTTTCACTTATGTTGAAATTATAAACTGATCTAGCAAAGACAGGCATGTCGTCATTTATAGGTTCCACAAAGATGAGTAAAATTAGGGATGAGTTCAAACCACCACCATCTGTTGCTATAATTGTTACATTTACTTGAACGTCGTCGGCTGATAGAGAAACTCCTTCATGTATTAGATTATTGGTTACAAGAGGTTGATTAATAGACACTAAACTTATGCTGTTGCCAATTGTTTCTATTTTAAACAATGATGACACAGATGACTGCTCCAACGTAAAAGAAACGTTAGCATTTTCTCCTTCGTCGGGATCGTGTGCCAATAATACCTTCAGAACTGATGAAACCGGTGCTTTTTCGACAGTTCGACATGTAGACTTTGTAATGTTACATGTGCTGCTGTTGCAAAAAACTGGAGGATTATCATTCTCATCAAGAACCTTTACATGAACGATTATTGATGTAGAAAGCTTTGGTACACCTTCATCTGATGCAGTTACGTTCATTTTATAGGAATCACCCTTTTCTCTGTCGAGAGGTCTTAGCAAAGTAAGACCACCTTCTGTGCTTATGTTAAAAACGTCAGGTTCACCACCTGCAGTGCAATATGAAATGTTTAACCTTTTCAGCGTTCACTTGTATCATATAATGATGTAAGAAGTGTTAGTAGTTATAAATAAAATGTGAACATTTGATGGAATATTTGATACAGATAGAGATAAGCAAACTACCATAATTCTGAAAGGAAAGTTATAATCATCAAAATAATTTATACTTTGTTGAGTTTATTTTTTGTGATTAAATATAGACATTTTGACAATCAAACTGTATTGTTATCTTTGACAGAACTTTGTATAAAAAATCTAACCTTGGCTGAATATTTCAAGCGTGTATTTAACTACTCCATTTTTTGTCGCATCTCTATCAAAAGCTGTCAAATTTAGTATTACTCCTTTATGTGTGTTTTCTAATACTTCAACTGTCAAACTTTCCTTCAAGCTGTCATTCCAGAAATGACCAAACTGCGGGGCATTGTCATTAATGTCATCTATGTAGATTTGAACAGTAGTATATGCTTTGTTGACTCCATCCCAGACAGAAATATTCAGAGTATAATTTGCCTGAGCCTCTCTATCTATACTTCCAACAGCATATATATTACCTAAAAATACATCAAGAAAAAAATATGCAGTGCTGGTGAAACCAAATTGGGGTCCTGATGAAGCTAACAACGTGTTAGGAAAAATGAAAACGTTATCTTAACTTTATAAATATGTCATTGAATTGTTCTAAATATTGGTTTAAATTTAATTAAACAAAAAACGTTAAAAAACAAAATCAATGTAATTCGTGGTTTCTTTAAAGGTTTTCGATTTTTTTTAAATTTGGGTATTATAATACAACGTTATAGTGTTAAATATACTCACACAGAACAAAGAAAATTTTTTAAAAAGGGTTCTATCTTGTCTCATCAAGTATCTTTGAAGCTTTTAAAAAAATTCATTTTTCCTTTTTTTACTCAAGGGCCCCCTTTGATAAGTTGGCAAATTTTTTGGGGAAATTTTCTTAAAAATTTTTAGGTAAATTTCTAAAGTCATTAAAAAAAAGTAAAAAGAGTGGACAAAACTCAATCAGATTTTATGGTTTTTGGCGGGGAAAGGGGGTTTTTCCCCCCCGTTGGTTTCGTTTTTAAATGACCTAATGAATTTTTAAAAATTATTACTTTTTGGGGTAAATTTAAACAAGGCAATAGACTAATTCTTACTTTTTAAAATTTTTATTTTATACGCCGATAAAACTTTAGCATAACAAGATCTTTGGGGTCATATAAAAAAATATTGTATGTTTGGAAACGAAGGAAAAAAATTTCAAAACCAAATACTGTTTTTTTTTAAAGGGGAGAAAAGACATTGATTTACTTTTTTTGGTGAAAACATTGAAAGATTACAAATATTTTGGATTTTATTAAATGAAAGTTTGGTTCGTTTTAAATGCAAAATTGCTATAGCACAAAAGCTACACGAGCAACGTATCCAACTCATAAGGAAGGTAAGAGATTAATTAATGCGGATAAATCTTGCAAATACAACTCTTTATGAAAAATTATTATGCCAATTTTGTAATCTGGATCGCGAAATATTGGGTATGGAAAATTTGGACAATGACCGAATTAGCTTTATAATTAAAATTTCTAGAAACTTGTTATTAAAATGTTAAAACAGCACACCTAACAGCATTATATATGGTTGAAAACAGGGGTTTCAACCATTGATTATTGACATTAAAACAAGAATGATTGCTTTTTTGTCAAATTATATTTACCCCAAAACAAATAAATTGTCAACAACATTGTATTGTTTATAACTTTGTAAACTACATTGTATTCTTTATTACAATTTCGTTTAACAATTAAAATCCAGTACAAATGAACAAATCTTTGTGGTTAACAAAATTTATTTAATATCAAAAACATATTAATTGCATGCGGCTTAAATGGTATATTGACACACCAAAAGTTTCGAAACACAGAATGGCTAAAACTTAATATACATCACAAACTGTCTGACCTTTTCTTGAAAGATTGGTACTCAAATATAGAAAAAAACACGAACAAATGTGCAAATCACAAATTTTTTATAAGAAAATTCGAGGTTTAGAAATACTTAGTAAATGCACCACCTAAATACTTGAGATATTTGTTAAACTTCCGGACAAGAAGCCATGGACTTCCTGTACAAACTTGGTGTTGGTATAGAACTGTATTTAATCTTAGAATTTGTATAAAATGTAACATGGATATTGGCGATGAATTCCATCTTCTCTTCGAATGTTCTTTATTTGCTAAATACTCATTATAAGCGCTTGTTAAAGGCAAAATATTACAACAAACCGAGTTTCATTATTTATTGAGAATTAATGAAAGATAAGTGGGTTTTTTTTTAATAAATATAGAATATTTTGTGAATTTGTCAAAGAAATAATTTGTTTATTTAGTAACTGAAAAAATGGATAAAATAATTTTGGTCATTCTCCAAAAAATGAGTGATTTTTTTTATATGTTGGACATATAAAAAAAGACTGATACCAGAGTGATAGAAATAAACTGATACCAGATTGATAGAAACACCCTGATACCAAAGTGAAGAAATAGACTGATACCTTAGTTATAAAAATAGACTGATGCCAGAGATAGAAATAGACTGAAACAACTTCTGTTTACTTTTTCCTCAAATTTATTCACATAATTTATCAAAGGAGTATACATGTATATATACTGCACAAGTGCTAGGGCCGTCATGGAGTTAAAAAGAGATAAAATATTGCCTCTGTTCAAACATACAACGTTGAACTACACATGGACCACCATCAGCGATTTATTTATTAGATTAAGATCATTTATAATATGTACATAAATGCAAATTATATTTCGAGAAAGCCTGTGAAATATCGGTAACGTAAAATAGAAATAGTTTACATAGGGATATAAGTACGTCACTTTCGGTTTGAGGCTCCATCTGCATAACGGGTTTTACATCTGTTTGATACTGGACTTAGTAAGGGTTATACCTAAGAAATTATCGATAACTATATTTGAAAATAATGAAAATATACATGCTTAAGTATGTTCCATCGGATCAGATATTAAAATTGGCACACGAATATAAAGGCCCCTGACCTATGAATGCTTGTCAGAGTCATGACCTTTTGTACTTGTCAGAAATAAAACAACAGTATATTGGCAAGTCATTTATCAAGTACATAAACGCAAGACCTTAACCTAACACCAAGTCACTCCTGACTATATCCAAAGTGAGGGGAGTACCTAAAATATCTACCTATTTATTTCAAAGATATTACTCAATAAATAAAATCTGAAAAATGAATAAAAGCTTTACCATACCTACTTCAAAAGTGCTAAAGAGGAAAATAACTGGGGCACAGTTGAGCAGCTTACCAAGATTATAGAAGTGTGTAAATTATGAAAACATTGGTACAGGTAGAACTAAAGATATATCCAATTTGTCGATTAAGGTTAACATAATGTACATGTACGTACAGTTGAACAGACGGTTCTTTATGCCAGTTGGAGGCATAACAAAGGGAGTAAAGATGCATCGTGCCTCACAGAAAAGATAATTAAAACCATTGTTTACTACCTAAAAATGTAGGATTTAAAACAAAGATTCAGAATATGATATTTTTCATTTCATGTTAGATTCTCAACAGTAATAACTTCCTAATAACAAATTAAATGTTTTAAGTTTAATATGCATCTTCCAAAAAGATAATAATTTATGAATCATGTAAAGGCACACTTACTAGAAGGCTGCTGGTCCTAGTTAAATTATTATGTCATTCTATTTAGATTTAATAGTGTACAAAAACATGGAAAGGGAATTTACCGTTCATCGAATCTATCACAAATTTTCCGTCATCGCCTGAAACAATCCTGTATAAGAAGAACTTTCCACTGTCATCGTCAGTAATGGAAACATTCCCCACAGTTGTATATTGGATTTGGTTCTCAGTTACATTAAAAGTATAGCAATCTTCTGTAAACTTTGGAAATACATCATTTACATCAAGAATACGCACAACTAAAGGTATCGCTGACGTATGTGATCCATAAGCACCATATGCATCTCTCGCTATCAACTAAAAGAAAATGCATCTGCTTTGAAAAAGTTAATTCAATACATTTTATTTAAAAGCACGCAATCAAATTACAATTGTAGTTTCATTCTTACTTTTATAAGATACATGTATAAATTACAGCAAGGAAAGAAAACAAGCAACATTCAATGGTACTCAGTTTTACAAAAGCATTTAATTTATGAATATATTTTATGCACAAAAGACTTCTAATATGTTTCTTAGTGATAACACATTAATTTATATATTGTAAATATAGTAAAATAAAGAATGATACAAGGAAATTAGGAAGGCAACTATATTTTAAAACAATCTGTGGCACATCAACTTTGAACCTACCTCCAAATAATATACTTCTTGACCCTCCCTATCAATATCACCACACAGATACACAAAAGGATATGTCGTTTTATTTGTACCAATGCAAAATGGTGCTTTCGTGTCATTAAACGTATAAACTAGTCCATCGGTACCGTTAATTCCAAAGTCTACGTCGTAAACATTGATTTGTGGAAACTTAAATGAACCATTGAATTATTTTATTTCAGTGCAAACTTTTGTCACTTTTAAATAAACATTCAGTCAGAAGAGGTAACATAGAAAATGGCAATAGAATATCAAAAAATAAATATGTATCTATTAATACATTTAACTTTTCCAATTCACCACTCCTATGTGATTATGGTCTATTTTTATCAATGAATAATGTACATATTATGAGCGTTATACATAGAAAAATATAATTTTATTTAAATCATATTGAAAACTTGGAACTGAACTAACCTTTATTCGTGTGCCATTTACTGAATTTTCAGTAATAGACCCATTGAGAGAAGACACGCCTCTAAATATTGGAAAGTTGTCGTTTTCATCAAGAACCTTAATCCTTACTATACATGTACTCTAAAGGGTAAGAAATAAATTATATATTTTATATAAAATGATATTTATTTTTGATGTTTTGAAAAGCTTGTTAAAGTGGGATGGATATGTATTAAGGGATAATTTGTTTACTTGCATCTACAGCAATTTTTGACATTTTAAGCAGATGACATTTTAAATATTTCAAATTGAGGATTACAAAAATAAGGTATTGAGGTAAAAAGAATATAATGTAAAACTCTTATGTTAACATATTAAAATTTCACATTTTCAAACAAATTAAATTCAATTATGTAAAAATTCACTATGCATGTTTGAATTCGAGTATGGTATGTAATTAATGCAAATCTTTATCAAATGATACAACTAATTAAGTTTACATTCTAAGACTAAATGGGGCAACAGAAAATATGAAAAAATAATCCTATATTACTTGACGAGGGAAAATGCCATGATCAGTCGCCTGGATGACGAGGCTAAATTGTTCTTTTGCTTCTCGATCAATTGGTTTCACTGATTCAACAATACATGTGTTGTTGGTCTAAAACATCATCCAATTATCTATTTGTTTTATAGTTGAAATATTTGACAAAATAAAGTGTACAAAGTTAAGTAGAAAATCAACAAGTAAATCTTGTTTAGTAGTTCTTCTATGAATTCTCGATAACTGTGTCGTATTTGTCTATTTCTAATTGCTTAATATATGTTTTTTATGTTCTTAAAATATTTTTATTTAAATGTTAAAACAAAAAAAATGCATTATTATCTTGTCTTAAATACATAAATGGCCATACAGTCAAGTACAACATTTTATACAAAGCTAACCTGGTTTGAAAGAGTAAATATGTCGCCTGCATTTACAGTTAAAATCGAAAAAGTAATGTCTCCGTTTCTTCCCTTGTCTTTGTCTTCAGCAGATAAAGAACCAATCACTATGTTAGTCATGTTAGTTTCCGTAACGGTAAACTCGTACGTATAATTGTTAAACTTTGGAGAATAGTTGTTTGTGTCTGTAACCACAACGGATACACTTGCCTGTTCAATGGAGGATATGGGAACATAACTATTTAAGTACATTGAATCTAAACATAACAATTTAACTATATAATAATTTCATCATTTGAAATTAGTACAAATTTAGTGCTAGTTTATTATACAAGTAAAATATTCCTGCAAGATAGATATCCTAGATGTAATAAAGATTTATTTATTTTATATATTCTGCACTTCAGACTATAGTAAGACCTAAATATCTCTTTAGAATACAAAATCGAATAAACATGTCTCTATAACAGACATGTCTCTATCAAAGATATGTGTTCACCTACATGACTCAAATATATGCCATCAGATACAGAGACATTGAGGACGTATGGTATTTCTAAATCAAGGTTTGTCGAGTTTTTCAATATTAAGTTTCCTTTGTTGTCGATGGCAAAAATATCTGCAAGAGAGAATGAATTTAAAGCATCAATATTGCTTGATCAGATATCGAGTCATTTTAACAAAGTAGATTGTTAATATCGCTAAACGAATAACGCAACGTTGCGATAAGTCGTGAAAGGTTTAAATCCAAGAAGAGTCATTTGATGAATTCACTCCTGAAAAATATTGCATCCGTGATATTAATACACGTCTCATCCGTATGTACAACAACTAATAAAATCAAATAACTAATCAACTTATTTCCATTACGGACAATCGTGAAATACGTGGATAAAAATTTATCATGGTTCAAACGCAAGCATATCTTTATGGATATTTAAACCGTTCTTCTTGGGAGAAATATTGTAAACTTCTACAAATAATATAGATTTCAACAAAGATTTTGTAACAAGATACCTGTATAAGTATAGATGTCGTATGTGAGTTGTCGGTTCTCTTTTTCAATATCTCTGTCTATTGCATCAAGCTTTCCAATGACAGTTCCACTTTCAGTAACATCATTAATAGTAATGTTATAGTAATTATCAACAAAATATGGCGGGCAGTCGTTTATATCCTCGATGTGTAGCTTGACCTTTTATAAGAAATAAACATATATCTATTCAATATTATATAACACAAGAACTTGTAACAGATACCCAATGTCCCCTGTCTCAGGGAAGTATAACATTAAGCGCGCAATAGTACTATTTAAAATGTTTGACATATAGATTTTGACATTCAGTGCAAAATCCTTATAAATGCTATATCTGCACATGCAACAATTCGTCATGGAAATATAATAAATGACACATGTGTATGTCAGTAAAATATATATAGAAATATGATGAAATAACACCAAAATTATGTGGAAGTAAAAAAAAACATTTGAGCACTTTTTATCACTGAAAGTAAGTACATAAAGGGAAAGATTTAAAAGCTATTCAATTTTTGAGATGGATTTTTTGCAGTGCACTAAATCTCCTTATTATCCATTGATTTAAAGAAAAACTCTTACATAGTATGGTATTTATGAAAATCATCGTATAAAAATAATTCATACAGATACGTTGGCGACCGTAGTTCCATATTTAGTGTAATACCCAATCACATAAAATGAAACGAATTCAATCTCTTCTCTGTCAAATGCGCTTGCTGTATCCAGTATAAGAGAACCCTAAAATAAATAAAAATATATTAGACTAAATATTATAAAGAATATGTAACATGCGAATAATTGCATATTATACCCGAGTGTTATAATTACAATATATCAAAAAAAAAGTGATTTTTATGCGGACACTTAACAGGAAAAGAGCGATTCAAATGTATATACTCTTATCCCGACAATAATTTGTGTGCAAAGTCTATTGATCCTGTTTGACAAGTTGGATGAAAGGCAAGTCTTTGATGCAGAAGAAGATGAATGAAAGTGTTCATTATTTTAATGATAAATCATTAATTTAACCGAAGAAATAAATAAAAGTTTTAACGGTCCCTAGAAATATCTAGTTCGATTGCAACTGTTTTCGGTGGTAACGGGGCACTGTCGAGTTTCCGCTAAGCAGTTTACCGAGAGCCAGATATTCATGTCTGTGACGACAGAATTTTCTTGCATATAACATATAAATAATCTTTCCGAAAGATATTACGAAAACTAACATTTTTATTTTGAACTTTGTTTCCTTAAAGTACCGTATGAATTAGCAACTTCATTCTCTTAGGCGTAATGACGTCATCCCAAGTATCAATTCATTCATTAAATGTGCGCGGATATTACTTACTTAAAAACACACAGCTTGTCTTACACGGGGGCTGTAAGACAAAGATGTAAGCACAGTAAAATCTTGTCAAATATGCAAGAAAATATCTAATGTTTTAATTAGAATGCAATTATGAATGTATACGCACACGCACACATTTAAATATTACTGTACTTTGCTACTTAATAATACATTTTAAATTTTTTTTCATATTCCGATTCCAGTGTTGAATAGTGTAAGTGTAAATACATGTACTTACGCTTTTAATCCTAAAGTTCCCTGAATAAGGAGCTGCAATAATTTTGTAGCTAACATTTTCTCCATTCAATGATATTGAAAAATTGCATATATCTAATGATCTGGTGTTGTTTTCTTGTATTTTTTTCTCAACATAAGTTACATTTATTGCCGGTACATTGACATGCATCATATGGCTATCACTCAGATCGCCCCCATCAGTCACTGTTACATTCAGCTCATACACAGCTGCTGGAATGTTTGTGGCAGCAATTGTGATAGTTCCATTCTTATCTATTTTGAAATTCTTACTACCAGACAAAGAATATTTGAAATTTCGAAATTGTTCATTTGTATCTGGATCTTGTACAAATACACGTGAGACATAAGTTCCCTTTGTAGAATTTTCATTCAAAAATACTGTTTTATTTGTCAGAATAATATTCGGTGGTTCATTCACATCTAAAACATTTATTGTCACTTCTGCATGTGCCGATTTCGGAAACACGCCGTCGTCTTTTGCAAAAATTGAAAACTTATATTCATTTTGTTCTTCGTAATCAATGCAATTCGATTTTTTTGCTATCGTTAGCAGACCGGAAGATTCATTTAAGAAAAAAGTTTTGTTTATAAGATATTTGTTCTCTGAATTTATTTCGTAAGTTATGTTGTACATGCCCAATACCGGTTTAACATTCACAGGCGCAATCGTATCACAAACATTTTCAGTGACATTGAATTCTATTTGCTTAGAATCAAACTGAAATGTTGGATTTGTATCCCTTACATGAATTGATAATGAGGTGTTAGTGTATTTAGGGGGAGAGCCGCTGTCACTCACAACGATATTCATATTATAATTCTGACCATTATGTCCAAATCTATTTTTCAGCGTTATAACACCCGTCGTGAAATTTATTTGAAAATCTCCTTTTCCGTCATTAAGGGTGTATGTGAAACCAATGTTATCAACATCCTCATCTTTTGCTATTACACTGCAAATTACATCGCCGATATCCGCAATATCGTCAACCGTTTTGTTACAAGAAGAGTCAACATCTACACGTGGAAAGTTATCATTTACATCGATTACAGTAATAATAATCGTAGATATGTCACTCCATTTTCCATCTGATACTTGCACTCCGACATTAATGGTTTTGTTCATATTCTCAGCATCTATATTACTAGCATACAGAGTATTGTTTTTGAAATGGAAATAATCAGTAAAGTTCAAAACTTTAAATTCCAGTTTGTCGTTGTCTTTGTCTTTTGCGTGTACCTGTAAAAGAGAAGTCTTATGAATAGTTATAATGCATCAGTATGCACGTCATCTTAAAATAATGTGAATTTTTGCCAATATGTATGTCATTATACTTAAAAACTTTTACAAAATGGACAAACTACTAAAATAGTGAAGTGCATTATGAACGCTTTAATATCTAATATACAGCAATTTTACAAATACCTTACTAATTACCGGTATCAACAAATTAAGTCGACATTGCAAAGAGGTTTCAAAAAAACACAATGAAAAATATCTATCAGTGAATGAAACGAACTGTACTTTCGAGAGTATAATACTCAATGATTTATGATTTTATAATCATAAAAATAACATAAACTATTGCCCATTATCATAAATATGAGTATTAAAAATCTAATCATACTTTCTATTTACCTCAAAAATAGTCCGGGTGTCATTTCCTTCGTAGATTTTCGTTTTATATGGTTCACCTATAAACGCTGGTGGATTCACATTTAATTTTGTAACGTTTATAGATACGTTTGTATATCCAGAGAGAGCAGGGAATCCATCTAAAAGAGTAAGGAGCTTGAATATCACAACATTTTTAAACACATACAGTATTGATCATTTCCGTTATCACCATTTCAGTTGAACATATGTAAAACATTTTAAGCAGTTTAAAATAGATCAGCCTTAATAAAACATTGTTATATCGTAATACAATATACACTATTTTGGTGTACATATGAAAAATGTAGTATATGAATTATATCAAATTGGGAAAAGATATAATATTCTTTCTAGAAATATTATTCATTTGTTTTTATTCTATTCCAGACATGCATTTTTTTGACGTTTTTTAGTGATAATGATCATGATATGATGTTTCAATCGTAATATAATAATCTATAGCCGCATGTGTTTATTGTATCATTGCGGAAAAAAACTTCACACTGATTGCTCAGTTGTTGGTTCTAGGAAAAGAATCTAATGAGTGTTTATTGGCTTCAAGCTCCCTATACACTAGAAGATTCTGTATACAGCAATCGTAATCAAAAATTAACGTCATGAATTTATACATCAATTGAAGTGTTCTATTAAATACTCACTGTCCGTTGCTTTTACAACTAAATGAATAATTATTCCACCATAACCTGTCAAGTTTTTGTTAGTCTTAATTTCACCAGAAGAACGGTCAATCTTAAAAAGAAGATTGCTGTTGCCCGAAAATATAGCATACAAAACTTGATTGTTTTGGCCGCTTTTGTCTGCATCGGTAGCTTTTAACTGAAAAATACGTAAAGAAAGGTTACCACTTTAGCAGAGCGGTATTGATTTCCCTATATAAACTGTAACGCTTATATAATTAGTGCTGTTCGATGCTTTCTTCTCGCATACAGCTTGTAACTGTGAAATACGTATGGTAACATGAAAATAGAAAGCCAAACAACACAATGTCGAAACTTATTTTTAATATTTAAAGGGTCATGGACGGTAATTTACAGATTCCAGTAACGTCCATAAACGGGGTCAATCAAACCCGAGCTTTAAACATTTCCAACTTTGTCTTTTGTGCGTTCTTTAGACATTATGCCTTTTCTCTACTTTATACTCACTTCCATGCTGTATTATTTACGTTTTAAAGTTTAATTGACGTTAGGGTAGTTTTAAAACTGAACTATTAGCTATATGTAGTTGTCATGTACCTGTGATAAACCTTTGAACTCAGAAATATTATTAATAAAAGTTTAAGCACCTGATTTTTAGTAATATAAAAGTTATTGCAAAGCAACCTATTTTTCTAACTAATATTTAAAACGTAATTATGCATATTCTGTAATGGCGATGTTTTCATTAAAAACCTATTGGGTATGAATCTGTAATATTTCAGCAATAAAATGGGTATGTAAGTGTTCATATGGTGAATAATACAAAGCCAAGAAGTATAAATAAAATAAATTAAGTTACAATGATTTTTGTATATGTCAAAACCATGTACTATTTATCTGAAATATCATCGATAATCTGGCATGCAAAGTTGTACAGGTATAATAAACAACATCTTTAATCCGCGATAATCACTATGTAATTAAATTTAGTAAAATAATTATACTATTTATATCAATAGCGAATAAACAGTTATTATGATAACATTTTTGGATAAAATACTTTCCGAATAAGTCTATACAATTCCTTTTATGTGCAGTACAAGGATTTTCCGAATTATAAAGACAGGAAATTATAAGACTGATTCTCAAACATTAGTATCATACTGTCAATACTTATTTCACAAACAGTACTAACCCTTCTACTAGTACGAGATTATCAATCTAACTTACTTTTATGACCGACTTGTTTGGTCCTGTTGTTTCATCAATAGCATGTACATTGCAACAATTATTAGCAAAGATGGGTGCATTATCATTTTTATCCAAAACGTGTATAACAATATTTGTAGTAACTTCATCCTTGGTGTCGTCTGTGTCATTGGCACTAAGAGAGCATGTTATAATGGTCTGGTTTTCATAATCGAGTGGTTTCATCAATATAACATCTCTTTTTTCAATAATGTTGAACATACCTGTAAATAAAAAACGGCATGTGCTATATTCTAATTTTATTCATTTTAAGAATGTTAAAAATTATCTGAAAAGCATGATTTTTTGACAACTGTTAAAAAATGAAGAAGAAACACCACAATCAATATGGTACTTACGTTACTTTACTCTTACAAATATGATACTTCCAATGTTATTTTACATGCTATTTGGTATGTTCTATATAAATATATATGTAAAGGAAAACACTATTAAACATATAGATATTTAATATTTTCTTGGTAATTTACTCAGTACGTGAGTAAAGACATTTAAATTATTTGAATTGTTAGAAAGGCTTTAAAAAAGTATTATTTCACTTTTAGAAATATTCTCATGTCTTTTTATTCAGACAGATGTTTTTAAGATTTCTAAAAAGGGAGTGATTAAAATTTTTTTAAACGACTCACTAAAAACAAAAAAAACGTTTTTTTTTTGTCTTTTTTAAAGACGAAATTTTTAAAAAAATTAAAATACAACACAAAAATTAAGATTTTATTTAAAAAAAAATGACAAGGAAAATAGCGCACTAAAAACAAAAAACCAATATTTTTCCCGATTTTTTTCTAAAAATACTTTGGGTTTCTTTGAAAAATGTTTTAAATAGTTATCACAAGAACGAAAATCATCAAAATTTTGGGGAAATATCAAAATGGTAAATAATTAATTTTTAAGGGGAAAAAATACTTGAACACCGCCGTATACACAAATATTGGAGTTTGAATCGCTATTGACATGTGCTGTGTTATGATTTTACTGTGCAAAAGTTAAGCACGGATATGGAGTAGGTTGTGCTAGACTGTTTTCATTTACATTGGAATGAAGGATGTCGGCAATTTGATTGTTCTGATTATTTTTAACGTGCCCTAAAATTTGGGTAAATAGATCCCAAATTTTTTAATAAACCGCATTTTTGGGCAAAAAATTGGATGGGAAGAAAGGGTAACTAAAAATTTTAAACTAAGTTTTTTTCCGGCACTTTTGTTTATTATTTTCGCGAAACGGGTGATTAGTAAGGCTTTAAAATTTGAGTTTAAACCGAATGCTGGATCATTCTCTTTATCATAGTTTGTTGATTCCGACTGGATTACTTTTTAACATAGTGTCATAGAGTGAAGGTAAGAGGACAATTATAAGTTGCAATATAAAATGGATGGTCAGGTTATGGATAATTCATTGCGTTTCTCCTCGTACAGTTTGTTAACGGCAATCGAACAACCACCACGATTCATTACATTTGCCTACACCTTATTCTATATTATCCTCACACCTCTCGGCTTTTCACTTGACCGATTTTGTCTCTCCGACGATTGCAATTATTCAGAAACATCACCCCAACACATTTTCCGTGCTCCTGAGAACTTCGGAGTTCAAAATGAATCGTATTATACAGCCAATGTGATTGAAGAACAGTGTCCGGTGTTTTTGTTCCAAGTTGGTCTGAGTTTCATAAATGGTCTTTATCATTGTCAGACAGCAAGTTACCCCTCTCATCTTCTTAAGCTGTCGTTGTTTCATACTCAGTGTCTCTCGAATTTTAGCAAATGCAGGGCCCACGGAAATGGTTTGTTCATAACCTTTACCAAGTATCGGCCACGCAGTTATCATTCCACGCAGGGCTAAAGGCTCATACTCTTCGCCATTTTCCTTTCTGACACTGACTCAAAACGGCAAAGTAATGAAAACACTTTATTTCCAGCAATATCATAAATTTCACGATTTTTGTTTATCTCAGGTTCCTCAAAGAATAATTTGATTTTTTTCCAAATCATTCACAGCATAAAAGTGAATGTATTACTTTGTTCGTGGTTAAAGGCGTGGCCGAGTGGTTAACGCGTCGGACTAGTAATCTGAGGATTGCGGACCGCGTGGGTTCAAACTCTGTCAGGGGCAAGGCAAGAAACTTTATATTCATTGCTTAGTACTGGTTGGTTCCAGGAACGGATTCGAGAGTGTTTCAATAAGCTTATAACTTCCAACACAATCGAACTAAAATAAATTTGTATGAACCAAAGGCGTCAACATCAAAATCGAACACAATATATAATCTGGACTTTGAACGTTGAGTCGATTCGATCCTAGTCGTTGACAAAAATAACACTCGACGCCATATGTGTTGATGTCGTTTAGACAGCACTTCGGCTCATTAGCATTTTGATTGCACTTGTGAACAACTGACCCATTTCATGCGTAAAAATAATGAATGGATTGTCGATACTCCTGCTCCGTGGGTCATGTAATAGAAAGATTTGATTTGTAGTATAAAACTGATTGCCGAATGTTTTGATGTTCTTTCCCGTTGTATTATATATAAAAATAAAATAAAAACGTTCCCTGTCGTGACAATATGAAACGCAAACCGCCAGAAGAAAATGAGCCAACCAACAAGCATGCTCTGGAGTGCGGGTAACTAACGCAATGTGTATGTGTGGGTATAAGATTTAACTCCGACACATTTTCAACAGAAAGGTCTGCAAACTAAGATAAAAATGTACATATTCGTTCTATAAATTTATGAAGCTGTTTCAAGCCGTGAATTGATATCATTGGCGTCAAATGTAATTATGGAATACCAGCGAGTGCCTCATATTCAACAGAAATAATTATAATAAATGATCCTGATATGGATAATATCCGACCCCTTTTTCAGTATTAATATCCGACCCCTTTTTCAGTATTTCATACATTCTTTTTAATTAAAGTAAAGTTTAACCTTTACAATTTCAAGTTGAGCAATGAAATACAAAGTAAACGAAACAACAAGAAAAATCGTCTCGTGTGGTATTGGTCTCAAGTAAATAAAAATTGATTACTTAGAAAATTTAAATTCTAATAGGGTTATATGTTCCTTTCGAAAAGAGTAAAATTAATAAATTTGTCAGGAATGATTGAGATGTCTGATTGACTAGAGGTGTATGATGTATGAAACTTTATCGGACAGGCATTTTATAAACCGAAATCATGCTAACGGTATGACCAAATGTTTTTTACCTGTGCAATTTTGAAAATTTATATCATAATTACTGTCAGCATCAGTAACATTAACTCGACCAACAACTGCAAAACTGCCGTTCACATTTTCATATATTGAAAAACTGTAAGGTGTTCCATGAAACTGTGGTCTTTCATCATTAACGTCAATCACATGGATCTCTACCATGCATGAACTAGAACATATAAGACAAAAGTAGAATAAGAACAGAATTTCATTGAGGTATTGAAATTATGGATCAATATAGTCTAAGGATACCTTTTCTATACAATTCATGAAACTTTGGATTTTAATGCAACTTATAGTTTTTTTCATATGAAAGAAATCATGGTTTTAATTGCTATTCATTTGTAGAAAGAGTTTTTGATTGCAACGTTAACGTTATTTTGTCACAAAAGTAGCAAAATGTAAACAAAACATTGATTTTACTTCCATACAACAGGTAAATCACTCTATTAATGTACTTTTTGCCAACAAACAGGTATATATAATATACACGCCAAAGATGGTTCAGGTAATTTGCCAAAATGTAACTTTTTGGAAACTATAACAGAACACTTAAAATAGAAATTTTTTGAGGAATTAAAACATTTTTAGATATGCGAGCGGAACAACTTTCCTTGGTAAGACAAAGCGGAATATAAGGAATCAATTGCTTCATTATCAAATCAATTATCGTTAATATTAAATAGATCTAACATGCAGTAAGAACCTACCTTATTCCCTTTTATATTTGTTTAAATGCAACACATTGTAATATTTAAGGTACTTACCTACTAAATTGTCCATCAGACGCAGAAATGTTTAGAATCAGTGTATTTTTCTCTTCATAGTCTATAGATTGCACAACAGACAATTCCCCTGTGTTCTGTGTGATGTTAACGTACTGAAAAAAAGGGTTTAAACAATTACATTAGCCAATAACAAAAAATCGAAAGACTGGATAAAATTGTGTATAATATGCAAAATATGAATATAACGTGATCTCAAAAATCTTACAATTTAGTTTTTTAAATCTAATGAATATATAGACAAGTTTTATAATTAATGTGTTTCTTATTTATGTCATTAAATACAGTTGTTACTGAACAGTATGTAAAATATGCTACAAAAATAAATACCAATTAAGCTTTTAATAAAACAGTAGTGTTTAGTTATATAATTTAAAGAACTAAATGTAGTTAAGAATATTGCCAACATTACATTTTCATTTCCACTCAAAATATTGTATTCTATATCAGTATGCGTGTAGTCCACATCTTTAGCTTCAACGCTGCAGTTGAATTTTCCGGTTCTATTTTCTTTGACAGAACAAACATATTTTTCTGAAACGGTGATATGATTTGTTACATTAAATAAACATATATATTACAAGATGAGTCGTTACAATACAATAATTGTCCATTTAGAAAAACAATGTACCGATAAAGGCTCACAGTGAGAATAAAAGGATAATAGGTTAATGCAAATTTTGAAGTTTAAATACAACTCTTATGTTTCTTTGTTATGCAGAACGTTTTTACCTCAAATATTAACATTCATTATATCAATCACATCACCTGCATGGATTTGATAGCGATTTTTACCGAGACAATCATCAAATACATTATTATGTTGGCAACAAAGATGATAAACATACATATGTTTATGCAACTTAACATTCTTTATATGAAATAAAAAAATCTTTGTTACATAAGTTACTGAAGATTTCCAAACATTCGCGAAGCCCACAAATGAGAAAAAGCAATCATAACATATTTGAGATCCTAAACTTTATAGTAGCATTTCATTGTCTTAACTTCAATAAGAGTTTGCTTATCGGATTAAGTATTACTTTTTAAGAAACTACCTTTTGTAAACTTTGGGCAGTTATCATTACAATCTTGCAGGTATAATGATAAACTCGACTTAACAGTGTGATTCGATCGTGTGTCTCTCTTCTTCAAGTCATCAGTTGCAAATATCTACAAATCGGCGGGAAATATGTAAAATGTTGGCTAAGTTATATATAACTTAAACATTTTCTTCATTCATAAAACAGTCTACATGAGCATATGTTTTTT